TTAAAATCTATTCAAGCAAATTAAACCCTGCAAGGATAGTGCCCATACAAGGCTTGCACAAGCCTTGTAAGAGGTGACTAATCCCCGCTAAGGTACTAAAAGGTATTCGATGTAAACAGCAATACTAAGTTCTAATTAAGTTTATAACTTAAAGCTATTTTTGACTAGTAGGCATTTAGAATGCACTGCGGGGTGAAGTGGGGGAAAGAAAGGGTACCCCTAGTAAGGTGGTTCTTATCTAATCGCGGCTTTAGAGGTCTTGTCAACTGGCCGCCAGTCTTTCTAACTTCAGACAAGCTTCTTCCCGACTACCATATACTTCCCTATATATTTCCAAATATATATTCATATATAACCCCAGGTATCGAGGGACGTATGCAGATAAGATTGCGACCCATTCCTAATCCCTCGCCTTATATCGGGGGTTCATAGTAGCAGGATGAGATCTTTGGTCGAATCGACGTGAGTTCAGCCGCCTATGGCTTTTCATGCCTGGGTTCTGGGTTTTTGTTGCAAACATGTAAGCTTCGGCTAATATGTCTCTGTATATCTTTGTAGAACACGATGGCAAGAGACACTTAAGTATAGTACCAGCCTCACGGATTTGCAGCGAGCCGTCAAGGATAACGGCCCAGAAAGCCCCTGCATTTCGGGATTGAGATCCATTTGTTGGAAGGTTCGTAATTCTCGAAATGAGGATCCTCATCTGGCCTGGTCTGATCTAACTGGGACCTAGGCCTTCTTGCTAAGCCAGAGCACCGACACTACAGCTTGGTCGAATGCTGTATTAGAGTCGCGAGGAACATATGCTTCTCTAAGAGACCACTACTTGAAATACATTAAAAATCCCGAAAATCTCACTGCTGCATCCTCCGATCCCTTGGCAGACGACGCCAATGTAAGAGTTCTCTAAAACTTCTCCTATAAAGTACTAACTTCGCCTAGTCTCCTTGGAATACCTTCCGCCATGATGAAGCTCTTAGGTCCGAAATCCTTCAGGATGTTCAACGTCTACCAGACGAGCCATTCTACCACCAGACTCATATACAGATGCTCATTCTAGATGTCCTTTTCATATACTGCAAACTCAACCCGGTAATAAGCGGATATCGTCAGGGCATGCATGAGCTTCTAGCCCCTATTGTCTATGTCATAGAGCAAGATGCCGTCGAACCAACTGATGCCACCTCGGATCCCTCTGCAGACCCTAGAATGCTAGAAATTTTAGATGCCGCATTTATTGAACACGACGCGTTCGCCATTTTCTCTAGGGTCATGGATCAAGCAAGGTCTTTCTACGAAGTAGGCGAGCCTTTAGCAAATTCTTCTCCCGCAATGTCTGACCAACGCTCTCCAACGTCCTCTATCGTCGAGAAAAGCCAGTACATACATGAAGTTTGTTTATATAAAGTAGACCCGGAACTCTCAACTCATCTCAAAAATATTGAAATTCTACCACAGGTTTTCTTAATGTAAGCTTCTCTTCTCTCTCTTACGTGTTTATTGCTAATATAGATTGTGTTCTCTCGTAGCCGATGGATTCGTCTTCTATTTAGTCGCGAATTTCCGTTTGATCAGATGCTCGTACTTTGGGATACCCTGTTTTCGGTAGATCCTTCGTTTAAACTGATAGATATGGTTTGTACGGCAATGCTGATTAGAATTCGGTGGGATCGTAAGTGATTTGTATCCCAACCTATAACGCCGAACCATTTCTAATTCTTAGCAGTCCTTAACGCCGATTACACTGTGGCGTTGCAACTGTTGCTCAGGTATCCGCCTCCGCAGATGAGCCACGGTCCACATACATTTGTCGACGACGCAGTTTATCTAAAAGATCATTTGGATCCAGTTGGAGGCTCCACGCTAATAGCGAAGTATACCGGAAAGCCGCCTTCACTACCGGGAACTGATTCAGGGGCATCAACCCCCAAGAGCTCCGCCTCAAACATAAGGCGAAAATTGGCCGGTGCTAGGTCGCCACTCTCTCCCTCGCGCTTCAAGCCACCGCAGGCTAGCATGGAAGCGATATTTCAAGGTGCGGCTAAGAACGTCCTTGAACGAGGAGAGAAGCTTGGTATCAACCAAGCGGTACGTGACGCTATGGTGGAGATACGCCGCAGTGTTCAAGAAGCTAAGGGCTCCATGAAGGCCAGTCGGGAGCTCTTCACCGAGCCGGGGCCTAGCAACACGACGGTACGTGCCGTGGCGATGTTGGATCGGAGGAATCGGCGACTAGCCGCTTTGTTGGATGAACCAATTTCCTCTCTAAAGAACCTCGCAAGTTCTGATTTAGAAGACAAGCGGAGTGTTCAAGATGCTCTTGCGATCGCCGCCGCAAGGATACAGTTTATCAAGATCTATCTGGAAGATTCCACCATAGCTCTTCCAGACGAAGAAGAACCCGCATCGTCAATATCTCCGGGAACGCCGTCCGGCGGCGACGTTAATGCCGACCCAGAACCGCCCCTAAGTGACGCCGTCGCTGCGATGACCCTTAATCCACCACCCACGTCGGCAACTGACGTGAATTCCCTATCGGCTAATTCACCTATACCAGACCCGGATAAGATGGACACGGATGATCCCTTAGACTTTGGAACATCGACAACGCCAGCAGAAAAGAAGCTAGAGCGACCGCAAGCGCCTATCCCGACGCGGTCGACTCTCGCGCAATCTTCCTTCTCGTGGATGCTGGAGCCCGACAGCTCGTCCTCGTCGCAGAAAGCGCCTATCTTCCCGTCGAAGTCGAATAACTCGCATCGCAAGAGGCCGTCCGCGAACGCTAGCCACGAGCGCACCGCGTTCCTGTTCGGGGAAGTATCCGCTGACGAGAGCGGCCAGGCCGTACTGCCCGAAAATATATTCGACTTGGAGGAGATGCGGAACTCGAAAACGTGAACTAATCTGGGGTTGGGGTTGCTTAGAGAGAGGATAAGCGTAATATAGATGTAATGAGATTAACATTGCTATATGGTATGGAATATGAAAACACGCGTGTATTGTAATGCATGTTGCATATTTACCTACCTGAGCAAAATCAACTATACATGTCACATAACCCCCTTCTTCGCGTTACTTAAACGCAGAATCCACACCAGGCCACAGTCCGAGAATGAACTTCTTCTAATTTAGTCTTTTGACATATACATGTTTTTATTGATATCCGTTCATGATAGCCATAATCGTCTCCCCTACCGGCCTCAACGACCTACTATACTACATAAATGCAAGAAGGAAAAAAGCACGCAGACATGACGACCTGTAAGAATGATTTTAAAGAAGATTGAGGAAAATTCGCCGCTACACCTAAACCTAATAAGTAGTGTAATCCCCGCGCCCTCCAGAATAGAGAAAACCAAAAACCCAGAAATTTCCCAAAATCTTGTTTCCGAAAGCCAGCCATTCTTGGGGTTTCATGTCGTGACCTATTCAAAACTCCGCGCCAGAAGTATATATGCTGATTTCCCGCCGACGTAGCTCATCTGCTCTAAAAAGGGGAAGGAAATGAGACTTTGTAAAGGCGGGCTGAGAAAATTGCCATGTTTCTTTCTTGCTTGTTTTCCTTGTGTGTATCTTTGTGCTACTTTCCTACTCCCGAATCTGCAATCAATTCCTGAGAGCTGGGTATCATGTAAAATTTGTGGCTTCATTCCCCAATCATCAATGTGCCCTTTTCTCTAGTGCAGTCTAGCCCGTAAACCAACCCTGTCGTACAAACCTGCACCCAAAGCAACCCCCTGGATACCCCTTAGACCTCATGGGGTAGTACGCCTAATTGCCCTCCTTAATCTCTTCATTCCATCTGGCACCACGGGTGCTGGAGCACTTGCTCGATGTCGTATCGTTGTGAAACGTCGCGATCGAGCATACGCCGGATGAGTTCGATGCTTTCCTCGCTGATTACGTAGGGCACTCTTAGATCGCGATCCATAATTTCATCGATACTGTAGAATGGATTCTCCTTGTAGATGATGGTGTAAAGGAGGATTCCTAGCGCCCAAACGTCTTGCTCTTTACCGCCGTATGGTTTTCCTGCTAGAACTTCTGGCGCTGCATAGTCTATGAAAAGTTAATATGTTAGTTGACATATGAATACTGAAAGTTGCAAAATAGACATACCAATGGTGCCCACAAAGACATCAAAAGGTCCACTTTTGATGTATGCTGCGCTTCCAAAGTCTATCAGCTTGATATTTCCTTCACCGTCTAAAATGACATTCTCATCCTTGATATCGCGATGGACTACTTTCGCTCTCGTATGGAGATGGTGTATTGCCCGGGCGACTTGGACGAAGATACTTCGGCATTCGTCCTCTTCCATATTTGTTCGAAGCTCAATGTAATCGAAGAGATCCATCCCAGGATACCCGTGGGGCGCCATTTCGATGTAATAGTTGACCTCATCCTCGAAGAAATCTTCCATCTCTACGATGTTGGGGTGCTTGAAGCCATCTCGTCGGAGGTAATCCAATACGTGTATCTCCAGGGGCACTGTGCCGAGGCGCCGATCTCTAGTCCATGTGTCTACAAGAATTCGTCGCTTCGTCACATATTTCAGAACGACCTTCTTTCCACCGCCGTACTTATAACGCGCTAGTTTCACTTGGCCGTAGGCACCTTGCCCCATATCTTCGAGTATGACGAAGTCGTCGATGGTCTTCTTCCGCGCCGGTGCCTCTGCCGGAGATGCTGCCGCTGGCGGTGATTTGTCCGACTGTCTCGATGCTCCAGTGATTTTCGCGGCTGCGTTCATTGCAACGACTTTGAGCTGCTGCGACAACGCTGAGGCAGTAGAAGAGGGTCTTGACTTCGCCTCCTCTGAATCCGACCCTATATCTTGCGGCGTATGTGCCGGGGTTTGGCCAGGAGAAGGCTGGTGCAAAGGAGAAACTGCCCCGGATAGTACTGGCGATTTAGGGGTGACCGTTTTTGTGATAGATGCGTGTAGGTGTCTCGAGTACGTTATCCATAACGCGTAAACCATCTCCGATTCAATTTCCCTTACAGCTCCTTCGCTAGTCTGAGATTCGTCATCACTTGAACTTGAATCATTGCCAGACTTCTTCTCGCTCTTAACGACTCTCATCTGGACATCAATCTTTAGTTCTGTGCCATCGCGATGCTTTGCAGGGAGACCGTCGGGATTCAGAAAGCTAGCAGCTGCGTTTGGCCTATTGTCATGCAAAGCTAACAAAACAGAGGCCTTTCTGAAGCTATGTTCAGGTACGACTATGCCGTCCCGGAATTGAACTCCATCGTGATCCACCAGTATCTCAAGGACTTTGTCGAAGTCTGGTATGAGGTTACAGATTGACTGCCCCTCTGGTTTTTCATAGCCGAAGAGCGCCCCGCAGAATGCAGAATTTGAACTCTTGATCTTGAGGGTATCTGGTGAGACCACAATGATTCCAGCAATATGTGGGAAGCTCGAAATACGAAGCTCGGGCTGGCCTCTTGTCTGGGAGACTATGGTAGGGACGTTGACCTTATCGCCGTTTCGGCAAGTGAAATACTTGCGTTTTGCGATTTGCGCGTAATCAATGGCGCCATATCTGGGATCGATACCTTGACGAGGAATGCGAGGGATCAGCTTGCCGACGTCCATACCAGGTCGTAAGCTTTCTTCTCCCCATATTGGACCCGTATCTCCAGAGATTTTGGTAACGATCCCGTCTTCATCAAGACTCACTAAGGCCACGTCTTCATGGATTTCCTCAAGGACCCAAATTAGCCCTACCTTCTTTTCCTTGACCCACAAACTTGCGGAACCCGTTGCCCCATTGCGTTTCTGTATGGGGACGACGTCTCCACAGAGCAGAACCCCTCTAGATTTTGAATTGCGATGATTCACCCCTCGAGGTTTCGACGGCGTTGTATCCCCACTATGAACAGTCTGCGCACGCCGGGCCGGGGTTTTCGGACGCTGTGACCGAGAGTTAGGTTTACTCAACAAATGCGCTGTAATGCCGCCGCGTCCCCCTAGCAGAGACGAGCCGGCTGAAGGAATGGGCGGAGGTACAGTTTCCGCGGGTTCCTGGCTTACGTCGTTAGGATCAGCACGGAGGAGTCGATTCTCTAACCAAGAACGCCTCTCCTCCTGAACAACTTCGAGTATACCCATCTTGCGAACTTCAGCTTTCGTCACACCAAAGACGAGGCAGGCTAGATCGTTAGCAGCTAATATCGTCCACGGAGGCTTAGATTCGGTTGTGAAGATGGCCTGTGCGGCCGGGACCCATCGAGTTGCGTGGCCATGTACCGGAGGCCCCAGAGCTGGTGTATTAAGTGCTGAGCCCATAGCTAGGGGCGGAAGGGTTGGAGATATTAACGCATCGGCATACGCTTCGGATGATGCGGCAAGGAATGGCTGTGCCATGGTATCCACGAGTTTCTGTTGCATTTCGGCGGATACTACATCCGTGTACGTTCGCCGTAGACTCGGGCGTCTGGATACTGGCGGGGATGTCTGAGCCGTGGTACCGCTCTCATTGGTCGGTGTCCTCGAGGAGTTCTCGGAATCCGTTTGGTCTTGTATGACATCCACTTGCTTTGGTATGGGCTTATCCTCCTCGCTCTGCGCAGATTTTACGGTAGCAGGAGAGGCCTGATTCGTAGTAGATTTTTGAGTATCTGTAGGAGATACCATCGGTGTCACGAAGGACTCAGGGCTGCTTGTCCTTGGTATGGGTATAAAGTCCTTCTCGAACACATTGTCGTGGGAGACTCGAGCAGGACCGGTCAACGGTCCCGGCACAACAGACGAGTCGGTATTTGGTAGATTCCCCGCTCCAACGAGCTGCGCCCTAGCAAGTAGATCAAGCATATGCTGTGTTTCTACATCTCCGGAAACTCTGGCCTGGGCGCTAGCAATGCCGGCATTCGAGGACATGGACCATCCCATGCGATCTTTCATGAACTCTATGGATCGCTTTAACACATTCTGGCGATTATGTATAAATTCTTCAGACTGGTGAGCGAAGGAGAAAGAGTGCAGGGATTCGGAAGGAAAGCGAGACAAGTCTTCGGAGAAATTGGGAGACGCGGGGCCGGGCGTCAATGGGGTCTGCTGTCCGGAAGGCAGCATCATGGTCATAGAAGTGGAACGAGGAAGGCCAGTAGAGGGACTTCGCGAAGAAACGGCGGTTGAAGGCATGGTAGGGGTACGCGGAGTAGGATGCTGACGAATGCGTCGTAAACCGGATATGCCCAATCCATGGTCATGTTCGGTGATAATTGGAGATCTGGTATTCCGGAACGCCCATAATATTAGTAACTATTGACCTATTCTGGCTTAATATAAACTTGTGGGAATTTGTTGTCTCTTTTTCTTTTTCTTCTCCTCTCCTTTTTTTTTTTTGGTTTTTACTTTTCTTGGCGGGCGTTGCAGGACGTTGGAGGTGTTGGTGGACGGGAGTTTCGGTGTGTGTGCAATGAGGCGGCTGAGCATAAATCCATGTGACACTGCTGAGAGGGTGGTGTACGTAGGTAGGAATACCATCCCTTCCCCGTTGTGGCCGTGTGCCTATTCTCGGATGCCTCACATTAAAAGAGGTACCAAAAGACGTACCTTGTGATTTGGTCAGACTCTGCCACACCTGATCCGGTGTCGAAAGAGAACCTCAACCTTGGCCTCTCAGGAAATTCAGCCACAACAGCGAGATTCCCGGTGCTGCGGTTCTTAGGTAGTCGCAATGGAGCGGAGAGCTTGTCGCTCCTCGTGGAGCCACGGCCGCGTTGTGGTTCTGGGTCTCCATCTTGATTTATATTCTCGTCGCCTTGTTGGTGGACAGCGGGATCAGTGGCCATGGGCATGAGAATATGATGCGTCGTTTCAGCCTCGAAACTCACCAAAGTCCTGGTTTCCACCATGAATATGTTTCATAATTGACGAATATCAATAGGATGTTTGTGCTACGGCCCGCGCGCGCAATAAGATCGAATAGAGACTGCAGGCGAGGAAAAGAAGAAAAGAAAAATCGATACGAGTATGCGTATGCGTATGCGTATGGAATATCGTTAAAAACGAAAATGGTTGGGTAGAGACGACGTATGGTATGTATATGTTTACGAAGGTAGGGTGCTGTACAGTTATCTTTAAACTAAGCTGACAGGCGGGAGGCGGGAGGCGGCGCGGGGTTAATCTGATTGAATCAAGTTAAGACTGCCAGATGGATTGAGAAGAGGGAAAATAAAGATTGAAATAAATTGGGACGGTGGAAACTTGTTGGGTCGGGAATAGCCTTTTCCCTTCTTTCTAGGTAACAGTTAAAACGCTCGTTAGTTTGGACAGGCAAGTGGCATTGGCAGTTACTGCCTAAGGAGGTACAACATACATACCTTAGGCTTTGCGCTTTGCGCTTTGCGCTTTGCGGGCGGGCTGCAGTCGGGTTGGTTCAATGCTAGTGGGGGTTCAAGGTTAAGTTCTGCTTGCCGACTCTCGGCTTCCCACAGCCTAGATCCAAGCACGTTTAAACAAGTGCTACGGTACTGGTCAACTGGGGTGTGCACGCTGTTATTGAAAGCTGGGGAACCCTTGACTGGCGGCTGATAGGTTGCGTTCAACTTCAACATTGAATGCACCCTTCTTTGTTTGGACTTTCAAATTGATCTTCTCTTTCTTATCTCTTGAGTGTAAACGATTCTGTAAGGAAAAGACGGCAGACTCGTCGGAATAATCGAGATGTGGAGAGGCAGAGGAGAAATCCATCTGATTTGAAAACAGACCTCAATGTTTGCATTCCCTTATGTAACTAAGTACAATACCTAAAATAGTGTGGATGTTTAATCAATCGACTGATGTAATGAAATTTGGAGTCACACAACCATAGATTGGTCCGAATTCTCAGGGTCTTTTTTTCGAGTGATACAAGCTCTCCAAGTCTAAAGCTAATGCGGGCTGCCTATTGGTAATGGATATCACGAACGCCTTTAATACTCTAGGGCTCTAATAAAAACCTCATCTTTCACGATTATGAAAACCGTCTATCTACCTGCCTACATTAGGGGGCACACATGTATATGGATACATTTTCTCGGCACATATTTCCTACAAACCCATTGCCGAGTAATTCGACGCGATCTATTTAGTATAAACCGCCGCCTATGATGTCAGCCAGCAGGATACACACCAATAGCCCTAACTACTAATTGGTTACTTTGCATAATCCGGTTCCCCTTATCTGGTTAGTTTTCGCACAAGTACGCGCGCCTCTGGCGGCTGCAAGATGGCGACCATGTTGATGACATACATACAGCAGCAATGACGCTCACTATACAAATTCGAAGCATCGGTTGTGGTAAGCTACGTCCGAATAGCTGCAGGTAGCTATCCGCAGACACCTGTACACTATCCTTGGTTGGGGGCTTCTTGTTTTGAATTTTTACATTCATGTCTACTGAATTTTTTTTTTCGAAACAGTATGAAACTAAACTTGGGTATAATCTCACTTCATCCCCTTCCCTCCTTTTGCTTCTCACGCCCATACACATACTACACTATACCGCCAACTAAACTAGACAACTGAGTGACGAGTTACCTCGTTCAACTGCTTTGGGAACTACTTTATGAGAAAGTTCCATGTTTATCTCCAGGGGACTCGTGTGAGCCATAAAGCTATCTCCTGAAGTGTATAACCCCCATCCAAGAACGTAAACTCCGCGGTTTGTCCCATCCTACCTGCATGCTTCTTCTCGTATGGAGCCTGCACATTCCGATCCCATACAAGCCCGTTTTCCCCCCGTAACGCCATGCATGCATCTGTAATAATGTAACTCCTACCACCGCCGCCACCGCCGCCTCCTATGGTTCCCATCCTAGAATTTCCTACCCTAACCACTCCCTAGAATTTCTGGTATTCTGGTATTGTACCAGGATACGGAACATCTGCCTTCATTCCTCACTGCCTAGTATACAACTTATATACGTGATAAACACAGGGTATTCTCCTCATAGTCATTCTGCAACTCGTTTTTATAGTTGCGGGGTCGGCGCGGTCCATCGGAAATCGCCTAGCTGATTGGATATATATCCGGAAACGCGTGCCGATATTATCATATCGTCCGACTCATGTGGTTAGTTATGTTCATACCTCATAGCGCCTTGATGCCTGGTGTATCGTGTTTAGACAGTTTCAAGAACCACCGGATGATGGCGAACTTGCGCCCTTATTCCTACGGAAGAATGTCGAGACGTTCATTCTGAACCTGCTACCCTTCTTTTTCAGCGCTCTTTCGGGTTCCGGCTTAAGGGTGTTCCCGTTAGAATCCTCCTCCGAATTGCCTGACTCGAAGCCCATCATCGGCGCTATCATGCGGGAATCGGGTGCCGTGACTGTAGTAACAGGTAGATTACATGGGCGCTCGCGTTCCATAGATTCTTGACTGACAATGCTAGTACCCTGGGTGCTCGGTGAGAGAGGCATCTTGCCCGTGGTAGCACTGGTAGCTTGCGATTGCCAATCTCCTGTCGGCACCGAGCTACTTCCGTCTGTAGTTTCACTACACCGTTGCTTTCCATTATGGCCAATCGATTTATTTTCCGACTCATTGAGGTTGAATGGATCGCTCGCGGCAAAGTCTGCGACGTTGTCGAAACCGGGCGAGACGCCATTCATCTCTTTGTATTTGCTCGGAATGTTAGGGATGTGGTAAGCCTGGTCAGGAGGAGATGAACCGGCTTTCTTCAATTCAGCATGATTCGGGATGAGGTCACAAATCTCCGAATCTTTCGGCAATCCGACTTTTTCAGGCTGAATAGCTAGGCTCACGGTACGAGGTGAGAGTATGCCCTCAGTCAGTCTCTTTTTTCGCTCTTCTCCCATACCCGGAATCTCTTCCACGGTTTTCTCAAAGAGGGCTTTATTCCTTTCAAGCTCATCGACAGTATACTGCATTGCAGGAAGGACATCAGCGACTCCCTGAAACAGTGGAATAGCAAACATGTTCATGAACCCTAACTGAGCCTGAGCCAACGATAGAAAATCCTTCTTTGGCGGCGCAATGAGAGAAGACGGTATGCCAATGTCATTCTCCATTACTGACTGCCTAGAAAATTCATCGCAGAGGATATACATCCATTGTAGGGCAGCCTCATGTTCTCGAGCCTAATTACATTATCAGTCATCATGCAAATGGTATACCAGGGGTTTATTAAACACGGCACGTACAACATTACTGATATCCGCGCATTTGATGAGTAAAGAGCACACAAACGCGGTCTGCTCTTCTATCATGCGTCCATTCCAGCAATCGATTGAATCAATCTCTTTCAACTTCTCTTGAAGGTCGCCGAGTTTCTTCATATAATCGAAGTGGAGGCCCATATCTGTTGCTAAAATCGAGCTGACCATAAGAGTTCGCATCTTCGTGTCTTCGAAGACTCGGGGCCAATATCTTCGAAGTATCTGTGAATAGGCTGCACAGTGAAAAGATTCGAGAACTGATCGATCATTGTATAACTGCGCTAACGGTGCGTTAAGCACGACTAAAAAGCCGTTATTTACGCCGGGATGACCAACGTCGTGACCAATTGCTCCTATGAGAAGAGTTAACGCCTCAAAAGGCCTGATTAAATATGCTAGTGGAGATTTTTCAGTCGGAGTGGCAGGAGCTCCGGACCGAGTAGGGTATGGCGGTAGCGCTCCAATTTGAACAAGGAAGTTAAAAGTTGCCTGAAGAACATCGACGGCATGACGGAAATTGTGATAGGGTACAAATGTATTATAGGCCGCTCGCGTAGCGACGAGATATGTCGTCAATTGATCTAGATTTGCACGTGTTAGCCGGGTACAACAGCGAAACAACCTGATTACTCACCTGTTGGTATTCGCCAATGCTCAAGCTCTGGCATGGTGAAGGCATGCTTGAACATGAGAATAGCTGCAATAAGGAGGGCGTCATCACCAAAGTCATGGGCGCAAAAATGCCACCTGCCCACAGCCTCGGCGATTTCGGATCGGTGCTCAGATGGAACGCTGACTTTAACACTCCCAATGCGATCTTCAGATTCTGTGCTTGAACGGCAAATCCCCTTCATTAAACCAGATACCATAGCCTCCCTAAGGTACGAATAAGGTTGATCCTCATGCACACCCACCCACGACCTTTTACGACCCCTTGATATTTCCAATGCCGCTTGCTGTTCCCTAGCAGCCTGCTTGTGGGCCCGGTACGCATGTACTTCAAGTGTTGTGAGTGTCTTGATATGCAGTGGACTAGCCATCACATCCACAGCACCAGAGTCCAAACACCTTCTCAGTAGGGCGCGGCTGGACAATGATTTGCTAGTTGCGCCCGGCGCCTCGGAGAGATAGCCGGCATATCCAGACCGCACGGGCTCGTCGTTCGCGCCATCGTTTGCACCGTCGTTCGCCGGCGGGCTCTGCAGCGAGGGAAAACTGATGACAGGAATAGGCACGACTAATCTTGTAAGGCTCCTCAGATGGGTTTCGTAGACAATCCGCTCCAGTAATTTTAATCCGTACAATTCTCCTGCTAAGTCACATTCCGTCAGTTCGCGCCGCGATACTTCAGAGCAAGGAGAGTGTTCCCGTTCATAGGAAGGTAATTCTAAAGCTTGCTCATCGTACGGCGTATCGATCAGTACAAGCGTTGGTTTGAGCTCTACCAGAGACGTATCATGCAAGTGAAATAGCTTAGATATGCAAGCAGCGCCACTTGAGCACACATGTACTATGTCACATATTAGCTGGTATAAGAGGGCAGAAGTCCACATTATATATACTAACCATCGCCGAAGGCATCGAGCAAGAGTCCCAAATTACCCCGAAGCTCGCCAGTCTCCGGTAGCTCTGTGCCGTCGGACCCAAGTGTTCGGTCCTCGAGCACGTTACGGTCCACATAGATGACATTACATGTTGCACTATCCATCACGGCGGGCTATGGCATCCAGCCTGGCGACCGGAGCACTTCCGCCGAGGTAATTTGTTGTCGCAACTGTGATCGACTGTGGAAAGACGTAGTTTTATAATAGAGAAGAATTCAATTGGGTCGCAAGTGTAGATTGAATAGTGTCTTAGTTCGCGGCAGAATTAGTATATCGTGTGTGCGACGGTAATAACAGTCGAGGCGCAAAGGTGGTACTCGGGACTTGAGGATGCGTCGACAGGCTAGCCACTCAAATCGGGTCACACTTCCAAAAGAAATAACCATCCAAAGGATCCGGAAGACGAGATGCGCATGCGACAGACTACGATTTGCGCCGTAGCTATTGGTTATGCAGCTTCGAAGGAAGACGTCGAGGAATGGTGGAGCGGATTAGTAACATGGGACTCGGAGCAAGCGAAGACGCACATATATGCGTGCGACTATGATCGAACGTGTGTGGATAGAGAGGGCTGCGAGGTCCTAGAAGTTCTGAAGGTCCTGGAGAAAGGAACGACGTTACACTCGAACGGAGAATGACAATGCGTTTCGCAACACCTGCGACTCCCAGTTCGTCTAAGGATATTTTTTCCTTCTTCTTTTCTTTTCCTTTTTCCTCCTATTTCCGTTTCTAGACGCTGTAAAGAAAGGTTGGTGGTGGTAGTCAAATCCTAAGAAACAGAATACTGTTGATTTGAGCCTATCTTCGAGACTACTTTAATATCGAAGTCGAGAACCTGGGGGCCAATACAAAGGTCGTCGATGAGTGGTTGTGAATTGGATGCTGCATGTACAGTCGTGGGACAGTGTGTGGTGTTGACAGAAGAATAAAGTAAGGGAATAACAGTAGGTATTTCGAACGTAGCGACGTAACAAACGACGTCAGAAAGAGCAGGCGATGGACATGGGAGAAAGGTGTAGACCAAACACGATCCCTATGCGGATTGTACAATATGAGGGAAGAAAGAGAAGAGGAGGAACAAGTGAAGATTGCGATTAATCGGGTGTCATTTTTAGTGCGACGGCAGTGAAGGGTGAAGGGTTGAAGGGTGAAGAGAAGGTGCTTGCTTGGAATTCAAAAGGCCCACTAGACTACTGTGACTAAAAAAAGGTACATGGAAAGTACATGTGTAGGTACGCAGGCACTAACTAAAAGTGTTAAAACCCCAGCGGTAGGATCGCGGGCAAAGCGGGTGTATTAGACGGGGTCTATTCAGGTGGTTGGTAATGTTTGGGTAACGCAATAGCATTGGGAGTATGTCGATTCAAGTCTCGTGCTTTTGTTTTTGTATGTATGTAGGTATGTAAATGAGTACAATGTGTACTATGTATACGTTGTGGGTATTCTTTAGATAATGCCAGTGCTAACTTTTTTATGTATGTATGTAAGTCATGAAAGGACTTGGACGTGCTGGAGAGACACTCGACAATAGATAAACGTTTTTTAGAGGATCGATGATGTAAAATGCCGTTGCGTGTTATGGTCAGTTTCAAGATATTGGTCGCATCTGTATCACAGTCTTGGGTCGAAAATGCGTTTTGGAGACGCGGCGAAAGTTGGGGGCCGTCAATCAATCCATCCTTTCCCTCGTGTGTGAGGATTGACATGGCACTGCATCTGGAATTCGAAAACATCCATCACATACATGCATACTGGTACATACCTACCTACACGCATACAAGAAACATCGAGGTTCGTACCACGGAAAGATTGTGTGCGATGCGGCATGTAAGTATTCTCTGCAATGTACAAGCGGTTGTGGTACAGATACAGTCCTACGGATGTTGCCATGTATAATACGAGGCAGCCAGTACCCCTCATATCTTGATAGTAGGTACCTTCCCGACCAAGACCGACCTGCCCTCTTCAGAGACTTGTACATGCCTTATAGAAATATGTACACACAGCGTACCCAGGTATCGTTGTATCGTATGTAACTTGGAAACCTAGATACATGGGTACTGTACGATAACATAAGGGGAACATACCAGCATACCAGCATACGTACATACTGGCGTGCGTGAGTAAGTGGGAATGCTTTTATTAGTCGACCTTAGCAGACTGGCAGATTATCCCTGATCCGTGCGGCTGATGAGAAGATAGCTTAGGTTGTTTAATAATTGAGATTATCACAGCCAATAATAGGGATGGCGAAATTGACGGTAAAAGTGGTGAATGCGAAAGTTCCAACCTTACGATCGGTTTCGGAGCTGCCGCCTTGTTAGCGGTTAACGACCGACTCAGGTTCTGCTTACGTCTCTTGCGTCCTCTTGCGTCTCTTGGTTCCATGGGCACTGGGCAGCATGGGATGGCCATGGGTGCCATGGGGTGGATGCGATGCGGTGCGTGCGTGCATCGTAAGCAGAGTCCGCTAAAAAGGCGACAAGCTTCAGGGAAGGAATCGACCTGACTGGCTGCGACGCCGCTATTCCCTGCGTTATGGGTCTGGTGGTCCGGGAACCCCCTGTCTGGCTGGGCAACCGTGTGCTGCGTGTGTACCCTTGGCGATTCTGGGAGGGGAGCTTCGAAGGCTTCGAAGGCTTCTGGAAGCCTGATGGAAGCCTGTAACGAACGAGCCTTGGAAGGCGAAAGGGAAAAGAAGGGAAAAGAAGGAAAAAGTGGAAAAGTGGAAATTATGGGGCAGAGCGGGAAAAGGTGGATTCATCCAACCAATGACCTTTCCGAAATCGAATCCCAAATCCGTACAGTACGGAATGAGTTACACAGGCACGTCCTTCTTTTCTTTCTGCCTTTCTAGTTGCGTCGATCATTCAATCCATTCAGTTCGCAACCCACGCAACCACGCAACTCACGCCAACCCGCGCCAACCATTCCTTGCCTTCGATAGATCCATTGATTTCCAACGTGGCTCAGATTAAAAATCGCCTTAGCTTTTTCGATGGCCGATATCATATTCATTACAAACACGTATTCATCATCAATTCGGTTCCGTCCACTTCCTCTTTCTGATTAGCTTTTACCGCTCAGCTGGTTAGGAACCCCGTAAGCGGGAGACTCGGGACTAATTGTCAGGTCATCCCTAACTCGTATTACACCGTCCAAATGCAGCAGCTGAAAACAGCCTCATAATGAAGATGATGAAGGTGGTTAAAATTCAATATAGCGAACGCCGGTTCGATGAGCATATCATGCCGAAATCATGACGCTCACCTCTTCTGTCGTGTCCGCGTACAGCGGAAAACCGATAACAACTTACGTGGCCTAGGCAAGCTCTCTCTTCGAAGCTAGGCTCATCTTTGATCTTAGACCCGTCTTAGCTGGGGCTCTCAGCTTGGAGAGATCTGAGATGAGGAGTGTTTTCAGTGGTGGCCTCGATGACTCATTATCAACCATGTCTACCCATTGAGCTTAATGAGCGAGCCAGCGAGTCATTGACGTTGATGAATACCTATTTAACTCTCTCCCCTCATCATCAAGTGACGAATGGCGTGTACTTGGCAAGCCTAGATGCAAGTCTCAAAGTATGTATGTTGCTTTCTACATACATGTATTCGTTTTTCCTCCCACCACCGCCAATAGCATATACCCATCATCCACTTACACTGCCTACCCAGCTGTATAGCAGCAGTATAAGTCTCATGGATGTATTACGTTTAAATTCATACTCAGGAATGGGGTCCAAATAAGCAAAATCACAATTTATAAACATCTACCTAGGTGGTAGGTGGACATTGTCTCATGTCGATTATCGAATCCTTCGAAGCTGACGAATTTTAATGTTCGTACCGAGGCAACCTGAACAGGTACAACGACTGTACTTGGATCCCTGATTCTCAATACACCGTTTTGGCATATAGAAACCTTTAACCGCATGTCTTCCTTTCGGTCCCTGAATTACCAACCCCTGCGTTGCACCAGAGCTTTACCCCTTTTTACTCAATATCAATGATCTTCTCCCTTTCTAGTATTAGTCATTTTCGGCTGTGTCATCCCCAAACAGCAACTTTGCCGCATCCTTTTTCACGACCTTCCTCTTACAGTAGTATCACACAATCGCTGAAATAAAGAGATCTGTTGGTTCTATATCAATCTCCACCCACGCGAAACACCACGAATCGAGGCTATCGGATCTATTCTCCATACCAAGCACGTACATACCTTGCTAATACGCACAACAGAGACGGTCCATCCGTTTGTTCCCTGCCAGAACCAAGCTTTTAAATGCTTACTTAACCTTACTTAAACCATTAGAAAGATCTACGCTTCTCCTACCGCTCTACACGCATACCTACATACGCACATACACGTACATGTCCCTAATCTTCCAAGCTATCTAACCTGCCTGTCTCGGTCTACGAGTTGTCTGCGTGGCTAGACTCTAGAGCGTTCTCCATTCTATGGAAGAGAATCGCTCTCCCATTAGCTACCTTCTTTATCTGGTCCGGGGGCTACAACCGGATTGGCGGAATACGACGCGATTGACGGAGCAGTAAGGCTCCGCAAAAGCAAAGATCTAGCCTATCTGAGCTCCGAGATGGCCTCCACCTTCAAAGCGTTACCCTCAGATACGCACAAGCCCTATTCCTACATACGCTTGTAACCCACTACTACATTACCTCGATCAGGATATCAGGTTATGAGTGGTATTTGTTACCTGTCATCTGTCATAGTATGTTCGAACACCAGGGTCGTCCCGACGGAACACTTCCCCAGGTTTCACGGCACCAAGACAACGTGGTAAGAGTGTGTATTACTCAATCTTCTGCCGGTCCGGCAACCTTGAATGTCCGCAGGCAAGGTCCTTTCCCTGTTTATCCCGAATTTGAATCCTTCATGACAATTACCGTGCGTGGGGATGAGAGTCAAAGCGGCACGTTGACTTGGACGCTGAGCCTCATTTATATTAAGGACTCGTCACCTACATCTAAGTGCCGCAAATACGACGACGTTGTTTCTAACATCAACGGGCTTGGGAGAAATATCGGTCATCCTTCACCGGTACCTTTTCGCTCAGCCTCCAGCCTTACTACAATCTCATTCTCCTGCCTATCTGCGTGAAACTTCCTCTCGGATCACTGAAATCCCCGAGCCTTAGCCGGAGCTCAGGGAATCACTAGCATCTGACTGCCGTATACGGCTGCGCGAGGACATGGCTATACGTCGTCTTCGCATCACGGACGATCCATCCCGCTTCGGGCCTCGGACCTGCATTTTCATGTATTATTATTATACATGTGCGGAATATACCGCATCCACACCGGGTTGCCTAGTGTGTTTGCCTTTGTCGAAGTGGTCCGTTTCGCTTATAATTAAGGCACTCCGCAGCCAAGAAATATCTCCGAAGTTGGGTAAGGCTTCCCTCCAGTATGGCAGGCTGCCAGCATCTTCTACCAATCGTGTTGTTCTTCTTCGCCCGTCAACACGGCTCTCTATATTGTCCCAACTTGAAGCGCCGGCATAGCAGCGAGCGTCGTGCGATCAAAGTTGTATTCCTAGTTCCGCGAATGTGGTCGATTGCCGCGATTGGGAACGAGCCTAAAACGAGACACTCGGCCGATGCAGCGAGTTCTTTCCATCCCTATACGTCTACGCCCCCAGGCTTACGTTTCCCAACTTCGAATGCTGCGTTGCCTAAGAATAGCTCGTCGAGTACTATGTAGCATCTCGGTGGGCCAAGCCGGCTTCAAATTCTTGGGTGAGCTGATGCGTCCGTCTAATAAGTGCCCTTGGCAGCGACTAAGTTCACATGCCGAATCTCAACGCGAGGAAGTATCAAGAAATATTAGAAAACTTAGTTTTGAGAGTCAAAATATTGAATGTGTGTCGATTACTAGGTCTATATGCTACAGCCCCTGAGCATATCACACAGCTACGCAGCAGCCTCCGAACCCGCGAACCAGCTTTGAATTATAATGGGTCACCAGTCCAGTTGGTAGGAGAGCTACTGGTAAAACTATCTCATCTATTCACCTAAGTTTAGTGAAGTTGTGGTTCTTGACCGACGTAGACACGGAGGCACTTCGGCCATCATCCGGCTTAAAAAAACGTCACAAGGTAAAGTCTGTATAGAAGATATCCCAACCATGACATTTGGCTACTCGATTTCCATAGCCTCTAAATATCTTGTCAAGGGCCCAACGTATTACTACTCATAACTGCCTCATATACATAATTTAGCTAGACAATACCTTTACCCCATACCCCAGAATCCACCAGCGTCCGCAAATTCGCCGAATATGCATATCATCGACCTTGTGAAAACGAACATAATAAACATATTAATATAATTACTAACAGAAACATTAATTGCGGAATTGTGGAAAACACGATCGTGTCTGAAATTAACTCCGTGGCTCCCAAGGCTCCGCCAACTAGAGTCCAAACAAAATAACCCACATGTGCTTTAGTTAGCTCTACATACTTTTAAACAGTAACAGGGACATTTCTCATCGTACATAGAGTCGAGATTCTCCTTCCTAGTAGGTGGATTCACCAATGCCTATCCCACGTGTAAACAATGTACGGTTCTTTTAACATCTAATAACAAAAATATAAAAAAATAAGCTTTTTGTGTCATGTATATAGGTTATAGTCAGCCGCAACCAAAAGTCCTCCACGAATCACGTCGCTCCTGACGACGACTTACCAACCCACTTAGGTAAACTCTTCGTCAAGCCTCTAATAGACAGAATTCTGCCGTAGGAGGCTTCAACGTATCCTATTCGAGAAGGCCGGACGAAGCTTGCTTTTTCCAGAGGTAGCGGCAACGCCAAGCGAGGATGATAGCGTCTCGTATTATACGAGCGCCTCTGGCATACCTTGGCTTAAGAGATACGATTACAAGGAAAAAAAAAAAAAAAAAAAAAAAAAGGTCTTACGCGATCGCTATCGGTAACCCTTAATCTCGTCAGTTAAGAGCTGCTCGTGTCCTACTTACTTATTTGCTTACGTCGTCGTCATATGGGTGTTTGGTTCGGTGACGCTGTGGGCTTTCGTTTCAAATCCCGAGTCACCAGGTCTCATATATATAAACTTAAGGGTGATATGAGATCCTTTTCTGACGCCGCATATATAGATCTTAGCTTAGTAAATAGCATTCCTTGACATCCTCGAGGCTCTAGCAATGACAAGATGAGGTAAGACGTGAGAACTTAGGATCACGTACATATTCTATATTACACGGATGATGGCGTTCTCACGTATTCGTAGCCTCAAGCGGCGCAGCTGAACGGCTGCTGGGTCACCGCTCATACAAACTAAAGCGGGATTTACCAAGGTACTAATTCACAACGATGACTTAATGTGTGCATAGTAAATGCAAAGCGCTCTGTTCAACCTTATGTGAGGACATTGACATTAATAGGCCCTATCGCAGCCTAACGTGACCAAGGATGCAAATAATTTCTGTCACCCAAGCCATTCGTTTATTCATACCCGGATACGAATTTGGAAGATACCTTACACAAATCCTCTCCTCTCGCATTTATTGCAATGCTACCTATTGCCTGCCTATCCTCATAATGCATGCCAGTCGTATCTAACGGGTGGCGATTTATGTCTAGATGCTTTGATGCTCTTCCCAAGAAACCACCATGAGTCCGGTCCACCTCAAATGCGTTGCTATACCATGTATGGATGCATATCTCGTTATCGGTGACCTCTGCTGCCGTTAAGACAACCATTCGTGGACACCGAAGTTCGTCTTGTTAATAGACAATGACAGAAACGTCTTCTAAAAAGAGGACGAGTCTTCTTTGGGATTAGACTTGTCGCCCTATCAGCGAAACCTGGGTACCACCTAACTTAGTTTGATCTTATCGTCTTCGTCTAGGTGGATTTCGGCGGCAGCTTCAGATCGTTGTTCAACCTCGCCTTCGGGGGGAACGTTATGGACCGTGTGCTTCTGGTCCCAGATCTGATTGATGTCATCTCGGGTCATTTCGCTATACCCAGGGGGAGCTTCACTATATGACAGCGGGTTAACCTCGGGTTGCGATGGTAATTCGTAGTATGACATGCCTGGATATTCCGGCTCGGGATCTGTTTCGAAACGGGGACTGACCACTCCTTCCTCGTCACAGGACGAATTGTGCTGCGCCTCGTCCGAGGCCATATCGGAGTCAAAAGAACTATCCCTAGGATGAGCTGAGTCGAAAGAACTATCCCTGGGAGGGACTGTGTCCTCATTGCTTAGGAGATTGTCGAAGCTCCAATTTCCTCCCACGAGAGGTTGATAACTCGTCGGTCGTGCCATATCCTCTGTTAGGTCGATAGCTTCATCTTCTTCAATGCTTGGGTGGACACCACGTAATTTGGGATCTATAACGTTATCGATGGTCCTGCTCTCTCCGTGAGCCCAGTCATCATTCGTATCATTGGCATTATCGTGCGGGTGAGTAGCTCCTGCTCCTTTTGAGGCGCTCGACGACCCATTCGGGGAGAAGCCTTCGTCGAGACCTCGATCTTCCCCCGAATCCGGGAGTTCGTTATCAGAGGCATCTTCTACAAATCTATCCAGGATCTGTTGGAAACGAGGACCACCCAAGGGTATTTCAGATCGCCGACGATAGAACAGCAAGTATGCAGACGAATCCACAATCCTATCAGTGGAAGTACGACTCACTGACGCGTCTGAAAGAAACTGTTAGTAACGGTATGTCAAAAACTAGCGATTAGATAGCACGTACCATTGTATGAATACCATTGGCCGTCTACGAAGTTCTTCGCAAAAGCCGTATAGTGGCCACCACCTAAGCCGCCCCAATGGTTGTCGACTCCTATGAGGTCGTAGACTTCCTGCTTCCCGTCTTCCTTTTGGAGAACGCGAGAAGTGATGTCTAGATTCTCAACAGGGAAATCTACCAACAGCTCTAGCTTGTCTCTCCGGAATCCGCTAGAACTAAACCTCTTCAGGTGGATGATTAGGATGTCTGGCGTCTTCCAAAGATCAAATTTCTTGCTGGCTCGACGGTGTTCTTTGCAACGGGGACAATACCACATGTCCTGCTCGGATAAGATCTCCTCTCGTTCAAATTCATCGAGACATGCCTCAAGAGAAATGCCATGCTTCTTGCGTTTGGTCCGAGCCGCCTGAGCCCTATCCAGCTCAGGATCAGGCAGGGTATCGCATCCTTCCCACGCTTCGAGGGAGCTATCACTGGAAAATCCGTTGCCTTCGAAGAACATCTCGTAAGCGGAGTCGGACCAATTGACTACTATCGCTTCCCTTAGACGGATTAGAGGACCACCGTCGGGACCGATCTCGTTTGTACCGAAGGAATCCTCGATTTCTAGGCTCTGCTGCCTCTCTTTATGCTGACGTTGCTGTTGTCGTTGCTTCTTCTTACCGCCTTTCTTGAATGTCTTTAGTTGTTTCTGGCCGTGGTTTTGCCTGGCCTTCGCTTTCGTCTGCTTACTCGGCTTAGTACGGTGAGGCGCAAGCTGGTTATTCATTAGTCTACTCCTACGGCTCTCATCGGGGTAAACATTATAGAAATTGATTCGAATCTTTCTTTTGGACCGTACCTTTGTGACTGGGTTGCTGTCATCGTCACTTTCGTCATTCATACGTGTAAGAGAATGTCCCGTAGATCGATGCGGTGCTTCGTCAGAACTGGATTCCTCGTTCGAGGCTGTACCGTTGGTAGCACGGTCGAATTGGTCTTCTGATGACGGGGACTCGGGTGGATTTCTGAGTGAGAGCCTTGGGTAGTCCTTATCCTCACCAAGGCCGTTCATACCGGTCGGTAACCAGGAACCAGCTTCTGAGTAGATACACATTTCAAACAGATTCTGGAATTCCGAAGGGAGAAATTTCCCAGGGTCTACCCAAGAAGGCCTCTTGTGGCAAAACAGCGGCTTGGGGGTGGCGTTGGCCTTGATATCATTGGCATCGTTCATCTGGATGTCAACTATGTCGTCCTCCCCTTTCACAGACTGGGCGATGACCCTACCCTCATTTGAGGAACCGGCATCAGAATCACCTACCCTTACGATCTCGGGATCAGTGCCATCAGAGCTGTCAGATTCCTCAGCTCGCAGGAACGAGGGGTGCTTTGAGAGCGTCGCGATCTTTTCTAAGACCTTGCGATAGATAGCATCCTCGCTTCGGGCTTCTTCGGGCGTCACAGTGATGAAGTGGGGAACGCAAACGTATTTCCATTTATGGGAGTGGAAGCTTGGCTTCCCGGTCACTGGCCGACGGTGGAAGACGGGGATAAGTAGTCTCTCAGCTTGTGCGTCGTCCCATAGGGCCGAGGCATTGTGCTCCTCTTCGTCAACCATAGATCGAACTGCTACACCTAATTTCTGTTGTTTTTGAGGCTTGGAGCCATAGTTAGTGGGTTTAGCCTCTAGCTCGTAGAAATTTGCATTGTCATTAGTAGAAATCTCTTCCGAGGCACAGGCGAGGTCGGCATAAATTTTGTAGAATTTATTCTTCCACTCCTCTGCACCGAATATGCGCTCAGCCGGTACTCCTGTTTTGCTAGATAAGAACTCTTTGAGAGACTTAATGCTAGCGTGCTTGTCAAGCTCGACTCTGATATTAATCGGTCGGCCATTCAGCGGAAAATATTTGACAGTGTGATTCCACTTATTTTCTACCGGTAGAGGCAAGGTTAAATTGTTGAATGGATCAAAGGTGATGCTAACCTTCTGACATTCCGGGCAAACCAATGTTGACTTGTACAAGCCAGTAAAAAGGTCCGCAATCACGGAATCATCACGTTTCTTGGTGATATCCCATACCTTCTCGGCCAATTGCCGAATAGCATCAGGATTGTTGATCATCTCGTCGGTAGAATCAGGCTTCTCGATATAAGGCTTCTTCTTGACCCGACTAAGATCCTCCTGTAAACCATCGAGCAAGAAACCAAGAAACTCCTGGGAATCTTGCTGACCATAGCCAGAAAACCCCACAGAGTAACGACCGATCGTGTTCTTGAATTGGCGGGGCGAAACGGAACCGGGCGAAGAGTCTTTATATATCTCCTTCAGCAGGTATGCATACGCTGCAGCTACGTCGCCGTTGTGAGAGAGAACGTTGTCCTTGTTGAGTTCCTTTTCCCATTCGTCTGCTAGGAAATACTTGGTCAATTCCTCAACAGCTCTCACGCACTGAAGGGCAGCGTTCATGTAACATGAGTTGCCTAGATTGGCTAGTCCAACACACCCAGCAACCCGACCAGATTTCTGCGACCTACCACGCGTCAAAGGACCGGAAGGACTGGTTCGACCGCTTCTAGCATTGCGGTTCTGGACAGCTAGACTAGTGGAACTGTTTCTAGAAGGTAACGAAGCAGCGGATGTTCGAGCCTGGGAGGAGACGAGAGTAGACGTCCAGTTGGTGCCACTTTCATGAGGATCTAGAACAATGGCCTGATCTTGTGTTATGGCGAAGTAGCTCAGCATTTTGGATGACTTCGCATTAGCGTTGGTGAGGTCGCTAAAGTCAATGAGTTCTCTCTCTGATCCTTTCTCGAGAGCCAAGAACGATTCGACATCTAGCAGGAGGTGTTTCCACGGCTGAGACGTAGATTCCGAGCCGTCCCCGGAGTCAGGCGGGCTTGGTATCGCACTTTGAGAATTCTGCTCAATTGGTGGTTGCAGGACACTCCAGGCTCGAACCCTCTGGCTTAGGTCTATTCCCACCACTCTTTTTGCCTGTTTTAAGAAGGCCTGGAACTTCGTCGCACGACTGCGGACAAGGGTCCCAGGTGGTGGGTTTCTACTCTTCATGGCGGCGTCAATAGGTAGCTCGCTAATCGCAGACCAAAGTCGATAAATGCTCAGCACGGGCGGATGCCACTCAAATTGGATATTTGTCCCGTCCTCCTTGGTAGCATGAGCCGAACGAAGAATAGGCAATTGGTCGTCTTTCAACCCGGGCCATTCTGTAAGCAAATCCCAGGCGCTTGGAGGGAACGCCTCGAATTGCTCTGTATCGTAACCTTTCTTCAATCGAACAAACTTCCTTTTGAGAATGTCCACACCCTCGCCGACACAAGGGTCATCTATGACCTCTAAGATGATGTCCGAGTTATCTACCGGCGGTATTGAAGACCAGTCCTCGACATTGTGTTTTGGAGATACGTCGTCCGGCACATTCTTCAACCAAAGTTTAGAGACCAGGAAGCACTGCTGCCCTTCCGTGAGTGGGTGGGTGTTCTGTTCGTCGACGAATGTTCTAATGGCTTTCACATGTGCCTCTATCGATGCCGGTAGTTGACGAGCTATAATTCAACAGTCAGTATGTAGATCCCCCAGCTAGACTTGAAATGATTGTACCTGGTGGTGTTGATATGTCCATCGAGTTCATGCCTTCCTCTGTTATTGTAGTTTCTTGGCCGTCGGTAGTAGGAGGCGAACCCGTCTCTGTTCCTTTAGTAGGTTGTTCGGGTTTAGACGTTTCCAGAGTATCAGACGTCGGTGCTGTAATCATATCGACATCCTCAGCAGCATCTTGATCTACCACGTCGGGTTCCATACTGGAGGCACGTCGTTTCAACGGGGACGAAGCTCTCTCGGGGAATTCGGCCGCGCCGCCCATAACACCACGGTGGAGGGTCGTTTTAGTGAAAGGCGAACTGGCTCTGCAGGGAGGATACAAGCTAGAAGCGGCAGAGCTGGGATCGGGTCCCGGTGTATCAGCACCACGATCGCTGTGGATGGTGAGATCAGCGTATGCACCTGATGGAGAACTCGCAGCGGACGAGGCGTATTCGGAAGAATTGTTCCAAGAGTTTGTGGAAGTCTGCAATCGTGGTGGAAGGCTCGAGGCTGGAGGGATAGAATCGGCGCGGTATGAGGCAGTAACGGGGTTTTCGGACGAGAGCGAGAAGGAAAAACTTGGGTCGGTGTCTTCAAGTTGTTCGCAGGATTGTAGTGGTGTATCAGGAGAACTAGTGCTGCCTAAGCTCTCTTCTGTAGTGGCGGATTGGCGAGTTGAAATCTTCCTTTTCTTTGAGGAAGACGTTTTGACGGCGAGCTGCGTTTCGCAGCTCTGGGAAACTTGGGCGATGATTGGGGGGTATATTTATGTGCAAAAGGTCGTGTAGAAGGTGTAGTGAAGAAATCTTACACGAATGACCGAATAATTGTTCCAAGGTTGTTTGTTCCCAGGGTATTCATTGGTTGTCATATAGTGCCATGGACACCTTTGAATGGAATATCCGAGTTCCGTGCGGACTGTGCTGTGTGCGGTTATGTCAGGTTAGGTATTCCAGTCTTGTCCCCAAGGTGTCAGACACGCTGTAAGTACCATGTGAACCCGTGTGATAGGATGATAGGATGATTCAGCAATCCGATAATTTGCTGGAATCTTCTCCGATTAATTGAAAAAAGGAAGACGAGTCTATTCAAGTGAATAAACTTATTGGAACTTCTTTTTTTCGAGGAATTGATCCGCATAAACAAAATATGCCGTGACCCTAAATTTTGTGAGTATGCTACAGTAGTAGGTATGTATGAATGTGGGTGATGTAAAGGTGGTAAGGCGCATCGAATATTTCGTTTCGGATTTGCTGTTAAGAGAAAAGAAAAGTTGCGGTGGAGGCACTTACATATGCTGAAAAAAAAGGAAGTAGGTTGCTCTTGGTACTGAGTACCTACCCGACGCCGTGACTGGTCGCAATTTACCAAATTTATATGTACTGAGTACTTCGGCATGTATCTACAAACCCTAACGCCGCTAAGGCGATGTAGTTAACTGCTAGTAGAGCTGCCTAGCCTGCTAGGTAACAAAAGCTGTGACGCAGTCAGTATATGGAGGTTGTCTGCCGGTAGAGACCAATATTCGAATAAAAGTGAACCTTGGCAATTTGCGCAGTTCAGCCCAAAGATGGAATGTACTCAAGTTGGGTAAAGTGATGAAGAAAAAGAGAGTGTGGAGTAGAAAAAGTTTAGCGTTGTATGGATGATGTAGGCTGATGCTATAATTGTTCGAAGGTGGAGGGGAAATTTAGTTGCAAAGTGGTAAAGCGTGGTCGGGAAGGTGGTGTTTGGTAACTAAAACTTTCCCAATTGGCAGTTGCGACCTACACTCGTTTGCACCAAGAAGACAAAAATAACCTTCACCAACGCCAATTTCTAGGCACTAGGTGTGTTTAGTTAGCACCACGTGAGATTTATTTAGGTACCTACTCCTAAGCTTAAGCCCCCTATGTTAGGTACCTAGGTAGGTATGTGCATCTTGTTATGGATCCATTACATCCGTAATATCGAAGGGACCGCCTAGCTCCTTAGGATCATTGGGAATTGTCTCTTTGATACATTTAGGTATTTTATTTTCTATTTTCTACTATCGTTGTTTTCTGCCTGGTAAGTGCCATAATGGACAATCACTTCCAGTTCTCCCCATCTACGAGGGCTCTTCTTCTATCCCCTTCAGCCTCTGACTAACAACGCACCTACATGTAGGCCTCCATCAGGGCCAGAGACACACTTGGCTAAGCCCATACGGGGATTCAAGGAGGTATCATCTAAGCTACTCAGAGTGATGCAGTATCGCCGTGAAGAGCACCATCCTAGCCTCCTCAAATTTGGGATTGAGAAATATGGCAATGTACTATGTTAAAAGGGGGTATAGCTCCTCGCGTTCTATCATCTCCCAAACGCCCCTCCCGTGACCATCTTAAAGCTTAGAATCTATCTCTTCGAATTCACTGAGATCTCTGATCGGACGTGCTCCCGCTGTCACCGAGAGTCTCGCCTTGTAGTCTCGCACGTTCCGAATCAAGAGCGGTTCTGTACCATTTGACCAGCTGATAGTCGTATCTTCATTGCTCGACTCTTCGGCCTCCTTTAATTTAGGGCCAATGCCTTGCGCGATAAGCTGTACCACTAACTTTGCGCGCGTTGGCGAGGTTGGGTTTATGTATGTCGAATAAAACTCAACCATCTCCGCTTTTGTAAGTTGCTTTACCTGGGCTGCATCTCGCTGGGCTGTATATATATTAGTTGATGCGGATAACGAGCTTAAGGGGTGATAGTTGCACTATACCTGCTTCAAAGTCGTAGTATTCATTGTTGATTTGGGCCCAGTGCCGCCCTGTTTCTTGGTCCAAGTTCTTTAATTTCTCAAGGCGCTTAATTATTACACTTCGCTTGTGACTTTCGAAGTCTGCATCGCTCATATTCTCAAGGGACGTGGTTTGAGTAATCAAGAAGGAGTCGATACGAGATTCCAAATACTCTGAGGTACGCTCGCTTTGTATTATGAAGCGAAACCCGTAAGTCGTTGCTGAACTACGCAAACCGCTGAAGACCACGTAACCGAGCTGCTCCTTGGTTCGTAACTGATCGAATGCTGGCTCATGGATGATCTGGTCGAGAAGTTGTGTCTTTGCGCGGACCATACGATCCCCTTTATCTCCAATGTGGAGATAGTACTCGATGCAGTGGTTGACATTCGCAGGATCCCTCAGGGTTTTCTGGAAGAGAAAGTTCGACCCTGCCGGAAAATCTAGCGATCGAATGATCGGCCATTCCTCCTTTGCTAGGATCCGGGGTTTCAGTATCTTTTCAATCATATCCGTCAACTTCAACGCGTCCTCTTTGTACACATTTCCATGTACGTAAGCCTCGATGTGGAGCTGTGACATGGTCTGTTTGTGAAATTGCCTTACAGCATCGGCCGTGATCCCGGGCAACTCGGCTACCAACTGTTCAACGACATAATCATGCTCTGACGTGAGCCATGAGACGTAGTCGCCGATTTGCGTAAAAGGTTGTTGCAATTCGCAATTCTTATAGCCACGAGTCAATCTCTCCTTGATAATCTCAAATCGCTCATCTTTGACCTCGAGATCTCGCATCGTGATGAGAACCTGCTCCAGTAATACGGGCAGTTTATCGTTGTATCCAGACACCTCAATGAACAAGCCTCGGGAATCAAGGCTGACGTTGTATTGTAACCCGGCAAGTTCGGCATCGTATGAATATTCTTCTAGGGCATCTCGTACAAGATCCGTGAATAACTTCGACTTGACAGAATTCTCTGCCGAGGCGAAGATACTCGGGTTCTTGATGCTCACAATCAGATTCGCCTTGGGAACCCAGAAGGTGTCATCCTTCTTATACCACGTCCGCGCTACTTCGTCGTTGCGGATTACTCGAGGTGCCAAAGTTGGTCGCTCGACCTCCTTCTTCTCGACCTCAAGTTTGGTCGGGATGAACTGATTTCTATGAGGAAGATGCAGAGCGGGAAGTCGGTCCGCTGCAGTACAATTCAAAGCCTTAGAAATCTCGGCTAGAAACTCTTCGGGTATCTTCTCGGACTTATATTCAGTACCATACCACTTCTCCTTCTGATCCCAATCTCCCGGAAAGTCCCGGGACACTATGGTCATTCTGAAATTGTCAGGCCGTAAGAGCTGTACCCCCTTAATGATAGCTTCCGGATCAAATTTCCGTAGACGGTGTACGCTAAGCAACCACTCTCGTGGCAACGGTCTTTGCATCAAAGCGCAGATCTTGCTGGTAAAGCGACTAGCCGGTGTCTTTTGCTTAAACTTGAAATCAACATCTGCCATACCCTTTTGCTCATCGAATATCCATTCTTGGGGTGGTGTTTGCCTGAGGAGTGATACATATTGGAAGAATGCCTTAACAACTTCTTTGTAATGTTTTAACCCCTGCGCCCAAAGTCAGCAATGTACATCTTCCAGGGAATAGTAATCTCATACCTCTTTTGTTAGCCTGATTTGGCAGTCAAAGATTCCGGGGGTACCCGGGCATACTTGGTAGGCACCGGCGCTCAGTGAATTGGCCCATCCTTTGGATTTCAAGTATGCCATTATGCTTCCAGGGCCCTCGTGGCCTATGAGATGGCTAATGTACCGGCTCGGCTGCGTCTCCAAAAGGAATTCCTCATCGAGGAATGGAAAATAGAGATTCAACTCTCTGGAATCCATCACTGGCTTTGCAAAACATTGCATAGCCAGAAGTTCTTTGGTATATGGCACTTCGGTCTCCCAACGATTCTGCGGAAGATCCTTGTTCGGCACACCGGAGAAGAGCTCGGCTACCCATTTCTCAAGAACATCGAGGGGTTCCCGACCCAAGACACACAACTTCATTCGGTTGGCCGAGTAATGCTTCTCGTGGAAGTCGATGAACTTTTGTCGTACATCTATGCCCTTCGCTTCGGGCTCCGTTTTCAGGACCTCAAAATTGCCTGTCGAAAAGTGGCAGTAAGGGTGCTTGGAGTTAGATAGGGACTTCTCTAGCTGGTGGAGGCGCCATTGATCACTCTGCAAATTCTTCTTGTTTTCGGAGTCTACGGCGCGTAATTCGCGATCCAGAGTCGACGATAGGAACAGGGGTTCGATGAAGAACTGAGCGAACCGATCCAGGCCACCATACAGGGGGGATAAATTCGTCGCAGAAGGTTCCTCACCATTGCTGGGTTTAGCGGCAATATCGAAGAAATAGTTGGTCGAAGTTGCACCGGTGTAAGCATTCGAGCTTCCCGAATGCGAAGAGAGATATACGTTGTATGCGTTCTCTACCGGATACTTTTTCGTACCCATGAAAAGAAGCTAGGGTGCATTTTATTAGCTAGTACTTTGCAATAAGACCTTGCTCGGTAGAACCTACATGTTCCACGGCATGAGCCATGCCTGGCATGTCATCCTCGTCGCTAAAGTTGCCAACATTAACGTCGAGAGCGGCACTGGCCTTGTCCGTATCGGGGTCGTGGACTAACAGCGCCTCTAGTTGGTTCGGCAAACGTATAACGCGGTATGCCCGGTCGTCTAACGAAGGAACCTCTAATTGGTCGGCAACTCGCTCAACCGGCTGCTGCAGATGATCACGGTCCGACATCACGACGCCCGACATAGCCGTGTGGCGCGACGGCATTGGAGAGCTCATGATGGGAAAAGAAATACCACCTTGGAATTAGCCAAGGCACGGGAGTTGTAATATGGGTGCTTCGGGAGGGGGAGGGGAGAGGTCCTAGGTAGGCAACGCTAAGCTAGAGGGGGGCCAGATGGAATAATAAGGCTTCAGCCAGTTGACTTTTATTCAAGGATGCCGAAAGATAGCACAAGCTAACAAAAATATGTACTGCGTACGTCTGTGCGGATTAGTTAGTGGAGACGCTAACGCGGACCAGGACCAGGTTCAGTTACCAGAGAGTTGGAAAATAAGTTTAATGTGGGAGTCAGTTCGGTCCCTGTGCTTCCCTTAACCAACGTCTAGAACGATCGGCTCGTGCTCCGAAATCGACGACGGTTCGTAACACAGCGTCTGGAGTTTCACCGGTATTTGAGTCGGGCCGGCAGAGACAGATGCAGTAAGATGCTCACTCTGCCTGCCGATTATGCAGCAGACAGCCTCTGCCGAAATGAGGTTATTGCCGACTCTGAAATTAGTCGTCTGTGCAACAATAGGACGATCTCTCTCTAGTCGGCAACTTTGCTGAAGTATAGCGGCGGCCCGGCCGCAAACGCGATTCTTAGATGAAGAATGGCGTTGGCAAATTACCTAGGGAGCTAGATCCTCTAGTCGTGAGGCTGAAGGAGAACTAGACCGTTTTCCCAATAGCTGGCCAGCTATAGTTTTCCCCAGATACGGATGATAAATTACAAGTCCAGATAGCCGGATGGGTCTAGAGACCAGGGTAGAGCTTGTAAATACAGAGCCACGCGGAAAATATAACTGCGACGCGTTGTCAGTGACTGAATATCGAATCTCCGGAAAGCTGAGTAGAATAGTGTAAAGAAGGGATGAAGAAGCTGACTGACTCGGGCTGAGATCCGGTGGGTTCTCGGAAACCCCAGTAGCGCGTTTCCGCTATATTGTCAATATTAACATGGATTGATAGACTCTTATTAAACTAGAGAAAACAGGCAATAGCGGTATGGATCGACGATGGAACGTTGGGGTGTCATGGATGCCATGGATGCCATGGATGCCATGGATGCCATGGATGTTGATGTACGTTCGTACGTTATGCCTGACGTGCCTAGTTGTTTACTTACTGAATGTGGTGGGCTCGGAAATTGTGAATCGATGGATAGCGAGGTCAATGGTTAGGATCCTGCATCGGGCCGCAATTAGAAAGTTCCCCAATCTGACAAGATTTCATGACAATGGCATGGAGAGTTTATATGTAGGTATGCATGTATAATGTATATATCCAATGTATCAAGTAGAAATGCGCGCTGGGCTGAACAGGTGACGCGATAAGCGGCCAGTGATGAGACCCAATGTAAAGCGGTCGAGTGTGAGGATAAGCGCAGACGCCGTGAGGAGATTTCTATAAGATGGGGTTGGCTACCCAACGCAAAGATAATTGACGTACGTACCTAAGTGAGAGTCCAGGCGGTCTGGGTCTGTGATCTGGGCTCTCGTACCGGATTTGAGTCTGGAGGAACGGATGATGTTCTGAATCCGAAGCCTGTGACGTACTCCCTGCAGGCGGCGTTGCTGTTGAATTACCAAGGTCCCATCACTACTAGGTGCCCAGACAGTCTATTAAGGCCGGTTTTCGATATTTCGGGGACAGGTTAGGAAAAAATTTGTGGTGCAGCGGCCGGAAAGGCAAACCCGAATAGGAAGACACATATAACCTATATATATGTAGGTATTATGTATTATGTAGGCATATATGCATGCGCGTATACCTAGATGACCACCTTAGGTGACCTTAGGTAGAATTGATAGGTAAGCAACAAGTTATTTCTCACTTCCTATCTAGTAGGTTAGGTAGGTCAAGTAAGGTAAGGCATCCAATGTATTCATACCCTACCATACATACCTACCTATACTAACGGGTATAAAGGCATTTACGGCGACGATAGGCAGAGAGAGAGGGGCAGCCGAAAAAGGAAAAGAAAAGTGAAATGAAGGTCAGATTAAGGAATGATGAATAATTGTATCATACCTCGTTACGTACAGCGCTTGGGTGGATAGTAGGTACGGTAAGGAAGGTGAGGTATGTCTCAACCAATGTCTACCAGTGAGGATTGGCACGATTATACGGCACATAAATAGAAGGATTGATTGAGACTCCGGACTCTTAAGGGAACTTTGATAGAGGGAGTTGAGGAATGTGGGGGGATGGGGTCGGTTGGCGGCAAGGGTCTAAGTATTTAAATGGATATTGTAGATATGGGGTTATGAGTACTTCCCCTTATTATGCATGTAACACGCATACTAAACTCACATATGTATTTAAGACGCACGATAGATCCAATTCCGGGCCAGTAACAAGACCCTTACCCTGTTCACCGTGGCACGGGAAGTCATATTATTGAGAATTTGCCTACTTGCTATAATGTACCAGTTAATTGACCAAGCTCCATGTTATTGGATAGCACACGCTTTTCAAGGATGCCGGCGTCTAACCAATACAAGTTCGAACATTATATGTTACTAGACCCATTGACCTCAACACCACCTAGGTGCAGAAAATTAATGATGATTAGGTATGCGGCAAGGCCTTGTCGGAAACGCGGTGAAGAGATATGTGTTTAAGAACATGTCATTCCGCTACATACTTAAAAAAACCACTCACGGAAACTTCAGAGTTCATGGTGGACATCACTTTGTGGAATGGCCTCGACGAATGAAAGGGTCTAAATAATCCGCTCATTATGAGGACAGATGAGTACCCTTGTGGTCGATGACCACGTCTAATGAGAACTTATTCTTACATATTCATCATGATATACCAATCAGATTAGATGAAGACAGATATGATTTCATCAACTCGGGCCCCCCAGGTTCTTTTGATATCATATGAAAAATCGACGGGGTGTACAGTTTACTTACACGTGAATTGTATGGGATCGAGTCATGATTTACGATGACAGACAATGTCTGCAATGTGTAGGAACTATTGCCACTAGTCACTGCATAGTAGTATTCCGCGACAATCTTTCTCCGGCCTCAAAAGGCATGCTCATAACTACCTACTTATCTACTTCATCGAAGGATTAGAAATTTGACTTCATATCCATGTGCGGATATCATTTAATATTACCTAGTTGACATGTCTATTATCGGTTACGATTGGTCAGTCACAAGTCTACAATTACCACGTCGGTGGTCATGGGAATAGATACATATTCCATCATGACTGGGAAAACTCACCCAGTTCAACCTTATTCGTTTACTAACCTTTATTATTACAGCGTTTCAACGGCTAATAAGTAAGGTAGGAAACAAGCGGACCGGGTTAATAGCCCTGTTTCTAGGTGGGTACAAACGCTATGTTTCAATGCCGACTTCACTAGCTATAGCAAATCACAAACCGAAAAAAAAAACGGTTGAGATAACTGTGGAACCCCGGAAGAGTTTGTGGCAGGCCGAGATATATCTACATAGTATAAGTGTTTTCTATCTTTTTCTATTTCTTCATGAATAACTGTAAGCTCTTATCCTTCCGAAGCGGATACCGAACAGGTCCGATAAATTGGAAAATACCAACGACATCCATCTAAATAGGGGGGAATGTTCGCATTCGACCTTTACATACCTAATAGACCCAATTGCTTTAAGGCATGTTAAATTTCGTCGTTTCACATTTCTCAGTCTTTTGGCAAGCGATAAAACGACGTGATATAGTATTCTTAACTTTATAGGTTTTCTGTTGAGATAATAGTAATGGGTAGCCAAGAAGGTTCTGCGTTGTCATTAAGATAGGAGAATCTAGCTAGCTTCCGTCGTACCCCTATAATCGAGGGGAGCTAGTTATGGTTTTTCGGAATAGGAGATCCTAAGTAGGTAGGCAGAGTAGGGTGGCATTAAAGATGAAAACCCCATCCCTCCACGTTTCTGCATGGATTGGCCGCAAATCGACAGGTCCGGGCGTCTTGGAATATTCCGGTTGGCCCAAGACCCTGGACTCCTCAGCCCAACTGAGGCGTGGGTGGGTGTATAACACACCCGATTAAATTCCTTCCTAGGTAGGTACGTAGTATAAATAAATGTATGGACATGGATCCGTAAGGCGGTCTATACCTTATAAAGGCCTCGGGACGTGGAGTTATAGAACACTCAATCTCCATCCTTTTACCTAGCCAAGCACATCCATTGGGGCAATCTACCTCGTCGTCTTAGTTTCATGTTCAATGTCAATTCTGGCAGCCTGGAGAAACAAATCATCGCATGAACCGCGCGGCCTTTGCGGCGTTGAATTTGGCTTGTACACTAGACCTCGATCTATTCCGCTTCTGACTTGAATCGACAATCGTCCGCCACATTTTATTAGCCTTAGAAAGGTATGTATGTAGACGGCGGATGCTGTGCATGATAAGATGTAATGCAACTTTTGCCGGCAAACAGACCGCCTGAACTGTGGTTCGCCCACCTCATCTTCTGGTCTACCCACTCGTCCGATGTTTGCTCTCTAATTCATCTAGAACGTATCCAATAATACACAATGCTATTAAAAAAGTGACGATCTCGATGTTGACTAAGATGCCCTGGGAATGCTGTAGGAGCTCGGCCGAAGTGCAACGGACAATTGACACGTATTAGTACATCCGAGTCCATCACAAGAAACCAATATTATGTAGGAGGAATATTTCCATGTTGCTTACGACATGTCTATCCCAAAGAGTCTTATACCTTCCTACTACGAACGAAATTTCAACGTTGCGTGACGTAAAGATACATAATTAACCCTTCAAAGCATAACTGCGTATTATCGATCGAAACTTGTTATTCGTAGATATGGATTTCCCACAGCAAGAAGCGAGATCTAGTAGTAGGGCGTGCATATTGCATTGCTAGTACGGCAATGGAGTTGCGCAGCGGATGAGCGAGGTTACACCACGGCCTGCGTACAGTTCTACTCATGCCGCTATGCGGACGAATAGGAGTTTATTAGATATGTAGGTTAAGCAATATATAGGAAAATGACTGGGTGGCGTTGACGGGTTGGTTAGGGCGTAAGCGGAGCGGACCGGAATAGGAGCCGAAGTACTCGGGCTCCAGTCATCTCAGAGGTCGCTGTGCCGAGTGTCTAGACTCAAACTCCCTTCACCTCTACGTAGACTATGTAGCCTAGAAACTGACACGTGCTGTATTATATCTGGGAGGATTAAGTGTGTGGCGGGAACAAAAAAGTATGCCCTCAAGTAAGAGTTAGCCTCAAGCAAGGATCACAAAGTGCCTGATAGCGATGTTCACTAATCAGGTTCATAGCCCCATGCGTACCTAGATATCTAGGAAGGTTCTCATTAGTTGTCCCTAGAAGACACTTACGTGAAGCCATCTCGCAATTCGGAATATAGCTTTCTATTTTGTGTCCCTAAAGGGTTGCTCACAAGGGGGGGAGGTCACATTTTGATCAGGTGATCCGGATCAATGCAAAGTTCTGCAAGGCGTAAATTCGCATGAAAGCGGGTGTATGGGAGGTATCCATGGATGTGCTTCAATGGCACACTTGCCTAATTCCCATGAGCATAGCTAGGTACGTATAGAATCTAAGCTTAGCCTATTATCACACTGTTCAAAAGGCTGGCAGATAACTACCTGCTCATCGTACATGAATCAGCGTGTTGACCGCTTGGGACACTCCGCGGCCCTATGACCAGGCTTGCCACAACGGTGACAGGTAAAGCTTGAGGGTTGGCGAAGTGAGGTGCCGCCTCCCGAGGAGATTGATAACAAACCGCCGGACGTAGAAGGTGTTCTGGGGCTATTCAACTTGACGTCCTTCTTTCTCCGTGCCTCAGCAAATTGCTTAGCCTTAGACCACTCGACACTTTTCTTCGTTTTCAAGGCCGGCCGAGAAGGAATTGGACGCGCTTCTGGTCTTTGGCCGTACGATTTCCGCCTTGCCTCATTGCCTTGTGAGGATGAATCGGAGTCAGAGTCAGAGTCGGAATCATCGCTCCCGGTCTCGTCGTCCTTTACTGTCTATACTTGAGTGAGTTACAAGAATCGTCAGAGAGATAGTGAACATGCCTAGAAGACGCATGATTTAGGAGAGCAGGAGGGCAGGAGGGAGTATTTTATACCTTTTTGTTCTCCATGTTGTACCGTCTCACCATTGTTCTGGCGTATGAGGTGTCAGCTGAATCGGTATCATCAAGACCAACAGCATCAGAAGGGTCAATTTGGGAGTCAATCTGAGCGAAGCCAACTTGAACCACATTTAGAGGTGTTTGGATTTCACTGTGAGATTCTGCGGCCTTGTCTCCTATATCAAGAACCCAACGCGCATCCCCAAGCTCCGCGGCGTGTTGTACCAACGCCTCCTGTCGTTTCCTCTCTTCCTCAGCAATAGCGGCCTGTACCGCGGCCTGGTCTATCTGTGCAATCGAATTTGGACCGTCGCTTCTCGTAGGATTGTGTACCACCTTGCGTCGTTTTGAAGCCTGCTCGTCTGAATTTGGCGTGGTGGGAGAGGAAGAGGCGGGAGAAGCTACGGCTCTTTGCATGAACTTCATAGTTAGCAGTCTCGAAGACATACTTTTAGGGGGCGTAGGAGTCGCCATCTCGACAAGATCTCTCCGTTTGTTTTTTCTTCGGATGCAGTTTACAGTAGGTGATTTGTGTCGAATTAATTGTATTGTTGCCAAAACAATAGGTACTGTTATGTAGATGGGCGCATATGGCAAGTCGCGAGAAATTTGGAGAGTACCCAAATTTTGATGTAATGTACAAAGTTAATGTGGGTCGAACGTTCAAATGTCTCCCCCCTGTTAAGTGATACGTACCTTCTATTGCATCAGATAGTATGACATAATCAAGTAATTCCCGCTCTGTGTTACCCCAGCGCTACAAATCATGAAATGGTCCGAGCTCCTTTCTGGCCAATCCCGAATCTGCAATTATTAGATGCTCATCAACCTCAAATGATCATAACCCAGGTCTCTCTCCTCGGCCGCATCCCCCAATTGACGACAACGACACAGCACGATGCTCTCACGATTAACCGCACGAAGAGCGCTGCAGCTCCCCCAGCGGATGTGCGCTACGCAGCGTACTTTCACAAACTCCGCCCGTCTATTCGATGCCAACACACCCGCGGTTAAAGGTGAAACCACGCCGGAAACCAAAACAGAAGAAGATACGCTAGGCGTGGTAGAGAATGAAGAGAGGGGCTTGAAGCAGGCGCCGAACCGTAAAGAGATCTGGTCGAGGAGTCAAAAACCAAGGGCCCTAGCCATGACGGGCCCAAGATTTGAACAAACCGATTTCTCCCTCCAGGTAGGATACTAAGGCTGCTATATACGATCAGACGGCCCCGTGGCTAATATCGGTACAGCCTCAAGCACAAGCAGCAATTGAACTCATCCACAAGAAGCCGGTGGCGTGGACTCACGACCGAGTGGTGGCATGTGATGGCGGAGGGGGCCCGGCAGGACACCCCAGAATCTTCATCAACACGGACAAGCCGGAGATCGCTGTTTGCGGCTACTGCGGTAACCCATTCGTGAGTCTTATCCTCCACGTCGGGCAACTATCCTCAACCGCCCCTGGAGAGCAGACGGGGCAGATACCGTTCACGTGAGGCAATAACTAACACAGATCTTTAGGCAAACGAACACCACCGAGAGCACCTAGAATCATTACCACAGCCTTCCTATCCGCTTGCATGAGAATGGGCGAGCAATTAGTTGTGAATTGGCACCAAATGGATATGGCTTGGTCCCTCGGGTTTAACCAGCCATTGAGAGAAGCTAATTCAGCTATGTACATATTGCTTTCGACTGCTTAGACACCTAAAATTATTTCCATGAAGATATCAGTAAAAACTAAGCCTATGTTCGGTCATTTCGTGTCCATTTGCTTGATCACCTACCTACATTTCATTCATCGGTCTCATAGTCTCATACCAAGTATATCTCTAACTGTGTTCTATTAGTTGAATAGACTCCAACCCAGAATATGAAATACCTGTTATTGCATAACAAGAACATAGGGTAAGTACAAAGGAGCCAAGACAATTGGCTGGGGTATAACCCCACCAAAGCTGCAAGCCCGCCCAGTCGCAACAACTTCAACTGATCCAAATCGATCGCTATGCCGTCATCCACATCATCTTTCCAACATAACTTCTTTACCGTTCTCCTGCTCTGCATCCTTCTGGTAGCTTTCTTCCCAGGACTTTTCCACTACATATACACGCTCCCGTTCTCCTACATCTCTTCCAAAAGCCACTCTTCCGACCCCCGCGCGCCCACAGCCACCATAACCCCACCAGCGCCCGCCATGTCGTGGATCCAGAAGCAGTTCACGCTGCCGCCGCGGTCGCGCGGCTCCTACCTCATCACCGACCACGTAGTCAGCTCGATCCCCGAGATAAGACAGTACAAGGTCGGTTTGCTGAACTTGTTCGTCCAACATACAAGTTGCGCGCTGAGCCTGAACGAAAACTGGGACGATGACGTCCGCGCGGACATGAGCGATGCGCTGGATCGCATTGCTCCGGAAGCAGGGCCCAAGGGTGAGGATTTGTATAGGCATAGTGCCGAAGGCAGCGATGATAGTATGTGACCCTTAATTGCCTAATTAAGCCTTAATCCCTTCACCTAAGAAGTTGCTGACTCCCATTGTCACAGTGCCAGTAAGCTATCTAAGTAGTCAGAGTTGGTTAGTAAGAAAACTGAACAAAGCAGGCACACATCAAATCCGCACTCATCGGTGCCAGCGTTACGATCCCCATCAAAGACGGAAAGTTGGTAAGTCATCCTTGCCCATCTCATAGGTATATATCATATCGAAGGAAGAAACTCACTAGAGGCCAATAAAGGCAACGGGAACGTGGCAAGGAATTTGGTATCTCGGTAAGTTGAATAATAATTCCCTAAATTTTCCTTTCTTACATAAAATCTAGAGTTTCGCGAGATGAAGCATACGAGACGAGTTGTAGCGACCATCCAAGGAGAGAAGGCATGAGTAACGTGGAGCTTGTATGATAATGAAACAATGCGATTCTCATTCCATTTTATCTAATACAAGCATGATCTGCCTAGTACGCCAAGCGCCGTTCCGTGATCATGGATATTCGAGCTTGAAATTGCATCAGAAGTGATCTTCTTAATTCTAGCCGTAACTTTGTCGCCTAGCCATCTGGTCATTTTGTGAAGACCTTCCTGAAGCATGACGCATTCCCAAAAACCCGACTATTCCCGTCCTATTAAGCAGATAGAAGGACTTCGCCCAGGTGGTCTATTACTGGAGCCTATGACGTGCCATTCCCCTCTTTGACGTCGTTCATGATCTCGTCACCTCCTGCAAGGACCCTAGTCTTCAAGTTGAAACCCTCGGGGCCAGATCCAGGGGTCGCAGCAACGACTTCACCGTTCTCATTGACGAATTCAAAGTTGTACCGGCTTAGGAGGTGCGGGATGGCGGAGAGTTGGGGGCCATATCGTGCAGTGTTATCGTACAGTTCGAATAGGGGGACTGCGAGTAGCTTCATGTTCTTAGGTACACTAAGCACCTCTGTGGTAGACTACAGTTAGCAAGGGTGAACCCCGCCTAGATAGATGGAAATTGACATACTGCTCTCGGGTAGCTGGATGAAGTAGAGCTTTTTGCATTCCTTTGGTCGCGTTACGTGGGCTGGGATGAACGGGTACATGAACGTCTCGAAGTTGGGGCGCCACCACTGCGCAACGCAATCCCCGACTTGCCAATTCCCCGGTTCCTCGCCCTCGCCCAGCTTTCCTACTGGCGCCAGGCGCTCATCCAGACGCGCCTTGAATCCATCGATCTCGTCATCCTCTGGTCGCAGGTAGTCGCCGGGCAGCTTAAAAAATGCGTTTGCTATCTGCAGCATAAGGATGTGCGGGTGGTTGTGCTCGTGGCAAACGAGGATGCCTTCGCAGGTTCGGCGCATACCGTGAGCGTTGTAATGCTCCTCTAGTCGCTTCAAGCGAGCAATTACTGACGGGTCCTCCTCCGGCTGCGTCTCCTTTACACCGAATGTGTAGTTTGAGAGAGGATATAATCGTATCGTGGTAGGCTGATTCGAGTTGAAAGAGAGCGGGATAATCGGAGGGGAGGCGCTCTGAAGCGCTGTCACCGTGACGGTAGACATGATAGAAACGTGCTGATAGAAGGTGATATGAATTAATGAGGTTGGAGGACACGCGACACGCACGCTGCTTTTGCGACGAAACTGGATAGGCAGGGCTGATGTTCGTACGTGAAACTTAAGTTATGTATATGTTTGTGGGAAAGGAAGATCAATTATGGCGGGGGTAGCTCAAGTGAAGGCGAACGAATGTGCCTAGTAATATAAGAACGATCCAAATAATTATCAGTACGTTCAGGAGCTTGCCTTCCAGGTTAGCAGTAAACCATAAATATGGAAGCTGCGCTAATGAGGAAGGCGGTGACCTAGGATGACGGTTATCGTTATCGTAAGAAATTGGATTAGTCATGTATTCGTACTATGTACAAGAATATCGCCATATCCGTCATTTGGGATTGTTGTGATATAACGATTTCTACGACTTAAAACAAATATGGAATAGATTCTATCCATGGGGCGCAACTCTCATAAGCACATACGCGGGAAAATAGATCCATGCGGTCTGAAGACGATCGAGGCACCAGTCATAGTGCCTATGTTTGACAGCTGCTCATCAAGTGGTTCTCTTACATATAATCCTTGATATATCTCATCGAGTACCTATAAGGCATAAGGGTTGATCGCTTGGATTATGGAACAACACAAAACTTACGAGGTTATTACATACGTTAATCTCATAGAAACAGTATTAAATTATGTACACTTGAGTATCTAATAGTCCAGAGCCGTTTCCTATGTCCATCCACATTACTGTTATTCCATTACCTAGGTAGCGTAGATAGGTACCTAGTCTTCAATACAAACCAAACCTCCGAATACCTCACATGCGTCACCAGTACCATTAACGTCGCGGAATCTCACAACAAAGTTATCGGAAGTGATACGTCGGCCGACGTGCAATTCTCGACATGATACCCGCCTAACTCGCCGCCGTCGGCGCAGGTCATGTTCAGGGTGCCGTTTGCGACGCCCGTATACGCAACCCTAAACCATGTTAGGAGTTTACGACGGAAAGGGGAATTCAATCCCTCAGCACGTCATTTCTTTCTTTCACGTTCTTTACGGGCTTCTTCCTATCACCATATGCCTGCTTGGGGATAGAGGGATAGGGAGATAGATGTCTCTGTATATAGACATGTGCTTCTCCCGGGAGTCCTATACTCCCAGAGAACGGAAACCAGCATAGGTACATGGAGAGGTAGGTAGGTAGGCAGGGTCAGGAAAAAAAAAACACAACTCACAAGCGTCCATCATCATCATCATCATGGCAAAACCACGTCTGATTAACCGACAGCCGCCGTTCCGCGAGCGCGAACGCGGCGCCCGTCGCTATAGTAAACCGATGCTTGCCGTCCGTGTCCCTGCGGTCCGCGCACGCCTGCCACGAGGCGTCCTCGACCCAGCTTGCGGGCCCGCCCGAGCCGTTGCCCGCCGGCGCGGGCAGGCGGCCGAGCGGGAAGGCGCAGACGGTGAGCACGCCGTTCGCCGCGTTGGCCGCCGCCAGCGTCATCGACACCAGCTGCCGCGGCACGAGCCCCCCGTCGTCGTCGTCCCCTTGCCCCGGCAGCGCCGTGTAGTTCCCGTAGCTGACGAAGCTGAGCTGGAACGAGGACGCCGTTGAGGACGCCGCGCAATCCGTGTTTCCTGATGTGGATTGTGTCGAGGGGAAGTCTCCTGCTACTGCGTCGTCGTCGTTGTTGGTGTTGTTGCGGGGTAGGAGAAAGGCTCGGGCTAGGTTGGTTAAAGAGGAAAGGAGGAGGACTTTGCGGAGTAATGCGCTTTTCATGGTCTTATTTTGGACTGCTGCTGACCTAAGACTTGTGTCCGCTTCTGGATAGGATGATGTCTTCTAATTTGACAGAAGCAATAATTGATCTGACTTCGCAACTCTCTTGATACTCATCTCTTACCATAATGTTGAGGGGGAACAAGTTCACTCGTCGTTCCTCGTGACCAGGCTGAATCCGTGATAGCAGGCCAGGGTGGGCTCATCACGACATCACGAAGGGCCGATCTTCACATGCTATTCGTAGGGCAATACTACTATGTCTCCACTGGTTGATATTAGATATCTGACTACCGGTTCCAAAAAATAGACAATGTTGGGACGGAGATTTATCCATGTCCAGAGTCTAGATTTACCCGCTGATGATGACAGGGGACTCTTGCTTGGTATAGCATAAAATGGTTCCATTAGACGATTTATCCAATGAGATGATATTGGTAACTAACATACACGCGTAAGAACTCTAATTTGACCTGAGATGATTATAAACGAATCGTTATGTTTATTATATCTGACGTACTTCTCGGTTCTTAGAAAGTTGGGTTGGGATATTATAGGTGTGACCTCCCTGTCCTCTGTATGATGGATTATATTGTTTCAAGGGTAACTATAATATCTTAGAACGACAATCGCATTTGAGTCCGCCCCTGATCCGGCTTTGCTGTTTAGGTCATCTATTAGTAATACCAGCCGATAGTATCGTGAACCTCACAGTGTGACTCCTGACTAGAAGGGGAATACAATGTATGCGCGTGGGAAGTTATGATTATGTTGCCGGCATTATTTTCTCGGCCCAAGAATAGAGGGCTCTCGCGCCTACCGTTATTTCCTTGGTCGACGTTGATGAAACAAGTGGCTTCGTAGGGGCTGGCGCGGTCCAAGTCGATCCGGATCGAAATAGCTAGGCAGGAAAAAGAAATTCAATGCTGTGTACCTACATATACAATACATGAATGCCTTCAACGGCGGGTGTATTAGGAAGAAGCCGACATTTTAACGCCGTATAGAGGCGTTCACCTGTGAGTTGCTGTTCCCCGGTCGATCAGGCGGAGACCCGGTTGGTCAGTAATTAATTTGAAGGCGGAACGCGAACGAGGCAACGTTAGATCCGGATGACTAATTGCCCTGATACATGATCGAGGCCTTAGAGACTTCTCCCCGGGTTTTGAAATCGGTAATGACTCGTCATTTCGTGTTACCTTGTCCCTTTATATGCAAGCGCCTCTTAGAATTCAGCAGCCCCTTAAGCCTAAATCCGAAGGCAATAAGGAAGATAGGGGCGATATAATCTGGAATCTAGAATGACCACAGCCGCGCCTTTGACATTCATTAGTAGGATGAGGGTTAGCGCACATGTCTTCTTCCAGAATAGGAACCTTGATGCGGTATATCAGCCCCCCTTAGCTGATGATCGGCTGGTTTCGCGGCAAGGCTAGACAATGACAACCTACATATGTAGACCCCCACGTATAGCGCTGCTGTTTGCGTCAGGCCACAGTTATGATCAGTACTTCGCAGAGCGATTTGGCTTCATGCCAGGCGGGCGAACGCATCTAGCGCGCGTTCTTCATGCGGACCGGTTGGATTCTGCAACCCTCCACCGAGACTGTCGGGTCGGTGAATCGGGAGCGTTGAAGAAAATAAAATTTAGACATTACCCGGTTTCCCCAGCTCCGGGAGAGATATCCGCCATCACGTTTTCTGCTGGAAACGACAAATATAACCATGCTAGGTATGACTATGGGCTTGAATAAGACGCCACGGCGTTCTTTCAATTATTTCTTTCCCGCCGCAACCCGATGGGCTTATGAAGGACGTGCGTGTTCCTATAGTGACAGAAGGCCAATAGCCGCTAGTCAAAGCAAGCACCCTAGTCCAGTCAGGCTCATCAGAAGCCACAAGTCTAATTACGGGGTAACCGAAATATGCGTTTTACACCGGTCGGTGTTCGTTTCTTGTCACCTAAGTCCCTCTCTTAATGTGAGAGGCACCATGTTCACAAGTATGACTGACATCATGCGACAGTTCTTCCATTTTTCTTGAGGTCAGTGGCTTCGTAAAGACATAGGAATGTAAATGTGGATGTCGTCAGTATTTAGCAGGGTTACTATACACGCCATTTTATGAGTCCCGCCCCACGCGTTCTGGCCCTATCTCACAGGGGCGACTGGAAAGTCGATCGATCGGCATGCCTTGACCTGGACAGAAAGGGATGATCACATGCATGTACGAGAGACCCGGTAAGCGCGAAGCACCTCGTTAATAAGGGACGGCGGCTCGGGTTAGGCGGAAGTCAGAGCTGGCGCAGTAGTCTCCCCCCTACATTAGTTCGTGTATGACAATAAGGATGGCATCTGCCGCAATCCTTATTTGACCGGTTATATAAGACATTGGCAATTTGGGGTGACGTGGGGGTCAAGGAAAAGGGGGAGCAACGCGCAGCGCCAGGAAGAAGCCTAGAGAACAAAGATTGGCACGCCGGGTAGGGGCAGCTTGCGCTGGTGATGCCGTGTAACAGACTTGGGCGGCACATCGCGAAGGGAGACCGGGGTACTGGGCTGCAACGACATGGCCATGGTTCCATTGGAAGGTAGCGAACGACTGGAAGAAAGGCCTGCTTAAGGTGCGTTGCATACACGTTGCAGCTAGTAACATGGTCTGCATGCATGCGCCATGTTTGAGCGATGGGCGAGGAAATCAAACGACCAACTACGCCGAGTAGGAATTATATAACGGGGATAGAAACGAAATGATAGCTCATGTGATATAGCATGAGCACATATTCTGACTCTACGAGCTTCGAGGGCGCCGACGAGAGAGCGAAGCATATTGCTTTCCGCCTGTAAACCCCCCTTCCGCAACCGATGACGTGGAAGGTTTCGTTAGATTCCATTAATATGAGGCTCTGCAGGAGGTATATACCAAGAGCCTCTATCCCTGGCCGGAAAGGGGACGGCGCCCCTTTTTCTCTCCGGCTAACAACTACACCGCCTAGAATTAGATAGAGATAGAATCAGGTTTTGTTATACAATGAATTGCAGGTTTCCTATCCGATATGGCCAAGAAATGACCTGATTTTCGTATAGATGTCTACAATTGCGTAGGTACATCACGGTAAGGACAGTTGAGCCGACTATGCGTGTATTCCAGCTAGCAGTAGACCGCCCTTGCCGTATATGGGGCAAAAGAAGAAAAATGAACAAGAAACGTTCGCAGAGCCTTTTTACCTGAGAAATAGGAAACCATAGCCATGCGGTAGTTTATCCCCTGTATCCATAGACCAACATTTCATTGCGTGGGATCGTGCTAGCCTAATGTCGTTTGCTTGACTTTTCCTTCGGATCTGACTTCTTTGAAGGAGACGATGAAGATGATGAACCGTGGGCGATGACGACGCCTGATTTATGCGATTTGTTCTTTTTTTCGTGGGAACTTGATCCTCGGGTGCTCTCCTTCTTCTCCTTCTTCTCTCTGTCGTCCCGCCGCTCTTTATGCCCAGAAGCCCGGGGCCTGACGTTTTCGTTCTCTGATACGCCCTCCTTGGTGTAGTTGACTCTCAGTTCCCGACCGTCGTACTTGTATCCATCGAGTCGCCGAATCAGCTTGTTGGCAACCTCTTCGCTCTGGAACGTGATCAGGGCATAACCTCTGTTCGATTCTTGGCCTTCCGTTAGTGGTAGGTCAATATGCTGAATTTTATCAGCATCGGATCCGGCTTTCTTTCGGATAAGATCTTGTACCTGGTTGATATTGATCCATGGTTGAAGTTGTTTCACAATGATTTTGCGTTGTTTCGTTGGAATCATGCCATTGGAAGGATTATTTGGTCGCGATGGTGCCGACTCCGGTGTAGGCATACTGCTATACATAGCGTAATCATTGTTCTGGTACTCACTCATCTGGTATTGCTGTGAGAAGTTTGTCTCGTAAGGATATTGTACCATCGTAGGAGACGAGCCCATGGCTGATTGGTCCAGGTAGCTGCTACTTGAAGTATCATAAGGGTAGCAACCCGGTGTCTCATTGTAATCGTATGGCACGGCGTTTGACACGGTGTAAGGCGCGCATTCCATTGATGATGTAGCTGTATACGGCGAAGAAGTTGCAGGAGAAGTCCACTGTGAAGGGTCAGCAATTATAAGTAATATAGATCCCCCTTACTCGAGTTTGAAGTTTGAAAAGACTTACTTCCCCGTACCCAGCGGCAAGTGGTGACATCAATGGGGGTGTGCTAGCTGCATATTGCGTCGAAGGAGGCGTCTTGAATCTCGGTGTATGAGAGGTCTTAGATGTAGAGCCGCTCGCTTTGGAGCTCGCTTTGGAAGTTGGTTTAGAAGTCGGTTTGGAGGCCGTTTTGGAAGCCGTTTTGGGAGCCGTTTTGGAGGCACCCACGGGTTCCCTGATCATAATAGATTCGGAAACATTCTTGCCATTGGCGAAGAGTGGTCTCCCGTTGAAAATACCTCCATCGAGCAACTCTGTAATCAACGTTTAGCCAAGATTCGAGTGTCTAATTAATTCTCGGAGATTATCGTACGGAGAGCTGCATCGTAATTCTCCCGACCTCGAACTGAAACCCAACCAGACGTGCTCTCGTTGAACACCTCGACTCGATCAACCGCGCACACGGTCCGCACATGGTCTTTCAGTTGCTGCCAAGATGTTTGCCATGGTAACTTTCGTAGGCATATTGTTAGTACGAAGAAGCTATTCAAAGAGGAAGGTCGCACGGTCCAAAGCCAATTTACGTTGAGCTCACATTTGAGACCAAGATGTAGTACAGGTTCGTTTTATTTCCCGGCAAGACTTCAGTCTGAATAGTCCCGTTTATTGGAACTTGATGGGTGAAGGTATCAGAAGACATCGTGAACGGACAGCTGCAGCTCTCAAAGAGTTTACTCAAAAATGTTTGGCAGGGAGCACCCTTGGCGAGAGAATCGTGTGAAACGAACACAACAGTAGGAACGATCCGATGGGGCTCTTTATATGTTGCACGAGTATCTATGGTCCGAAGGTACGCGTTGACGATGAAGACGACACCTAGTAGAAGTTACACAAGATGGCAGTTTGAGAATTGGTGGTATATTTTGCAAGTCAGATCTATGCGGGATCGTGCCGGTCTAGGTACGACCAATGGACATACTTTAGCCAGCAGCTATGGAACCTACACACCGATTGGGTCAAAGATATCAGTATTGAGATACCCATGACCCCCATGCCAGCAGAGATATGTATGGCAGACACGGTCGTAGGTTGTGAATGTGCTACTTCCCACCATGGGGTAACCCAATGGGAAACTGCCGTGTGATAGTTGGGGCCAGTCTTCTGCCTGCATGGTGGTGCGAGCCAGCAGTCACGGTCGTCGACCTTGACCTTGCGATGAATTCTGACAACATGGCTGGAAAGGTATCTGGTCTGGGCGGGGATCCAGCCAAAAAAAGATCAGTCGAGGCTGGCAGCCTAAGAGGAGGACCGGTGACCCTTGCTCCAGCAGGGAAGTATTTGGTACCCAGTGGCAGAGCTCGTTGAAGGGTAGGGGAGTAGCTAAGGTAAAGAGGGTTGATGTATCGCGAAAGATCCTCGAGGATAGTCTAGCCTATTGTAGAGCACGTTGTATGCCTTCAAGGACCTTATTTGATTCCGTGAACCCGGTAAACGTTAGATATCTACCTAGATAAGCTAGGTATCTGAGCAGGCAGGTCCTGTAGGTAGTGAAGACAATCTGCGGTATCTGAGGCTCGCTGAATAATGTGGGGCGGGAAGATGGTCGAGATCCTTGAATCTGTGATGCCTTGTTGTCGAGTTTCGAGCATCGAAAATATCGACAATTTTACAATGCTGTTAAGTTGGGGAGAACACGCAATATGCGGACAAGGGTCATTAGGCTTAAGTGGCGTTTTAACAACTTCAGATTCGCTGCGCTTATAGCCATTGAGCTTTTTCGAGAATGGTAACCCATAGAAAATCCCGAGGTACAAAATACTAGCGTCAAGCGACGACGTGAATTTAGTACACATCGGTGGTGAATGGTTGGGTATTTTGTCTAGGATGGACGGTCTGCTGTGGGCAAACACTTCGTAGGAGATTATAATCTTTCCCAGAATGTATCCATGCAGGACGTGACACAGCAAGGATCCATCTCTGTCCGGCATACCGACGGTGCCCGTTGATTCTGCGACGGCCCTAGCTTTCTAGCTGACTGGCCTATCGGATCAGCTCACCCCTAACGGGGACCCAATCGATTGGATCAACCGCGATCTGGAAAGTGAACTTGATAACGATGTACAGTATATAGCTTTACACCGAGTGCTGCTTTCTCATTAGCGTCATCATCGACTTCTCGTTCGGCCAAGTAACCAAACGTACATTGTAGATCGAGCTTATCGCTTCACAAACAGTATGAGATCCGAGTATACCCTGCGATCCTGAAGTCACCAAAAGGCAATTCTTGCATCCGGGAGGGTCGAATTTGCCTTCCGGGACTAAGCTAATGGTTATTATTCCACAGTACTGGGTGCCTAATTTCATATCCCATTCACTTGAGATATGACAGAACCCTTGCACGAGGACCTAGCTTAGCGGCTGATGAACTGGAATGTGTCATCCAGTTCGCTCGCATAGTCATCATCATCCAGGTCAATATTCATGCTGTCCTCAGCATCATCTGGTTCATATGCGAGCCTTGGCGATGACTGCATGTTTATATCGCTCCCGTGACTGATGGGGCTACCAGGCATAGAATCGTGCCAGGGGAGCGTCTCTCCATCGGAATCTGCAAGTGAAACAAGCATGCAGGTAGTTTCGTTGCTGAAGAATAGTGCTGCAGATTCGGTTCTCGCCCGCATCCATGTGGCGTATGTCTTACCACTTAACGCTTCTGGAAATTGATGCGCCATGTCGATAGGTCGCGGACCATGGCTTAGAGGGTCCCAGGCAAACATAAGACTGCCATAGCTGTCACCTTCGCACCTCATGAGGAGAAGCTCTGGAAGTACGGGGTGCCATTCTAATTTTGTCACATTCGCGTGGTACATGAGCACAGCCCTAAGATCAGAACTAGGGAGATCCCAGATCCAGATCGTACCTGGTGCGTCCTCTAGCCTCGTGGCTAAAAGAGACGAAGAACAGTCGAATTTGGCAAAATTACAACCAGACACGGGTTCCTGGAGGCTATTCAGGGCTGTCCATTGTGGTGTCACCGCCTGAGATGCTTTGACGAATCCTGGCACGGAAACCGATCCAGTATTTGGAAGAGTGTTTTGTTCTTGCCAGATCTTTACGGTCAGTAACGCGTGTTCCCACAACCCCGCTATGGAAGTGACTTACTTGCAATGTATCCTTGGGCTGGATAACATGTGGGTGATGGAGCCGCATCGTTTCAACCATGGATGGCGTATTTAGGATACATATGCAGGTAGACCCGTTTGCAATTGCGACGAGTCGACCATCTGGGCTGAGCGTGAATGCTTTCACGCCAGTACCAAGTAGACCCATGTCCTCAGATGCATGTAAGAGGGGGCCGTTCCAATCCTTGAAAATATGACCGTCAGAAGTATAAAAAATGACCCTGGGGGATTGAGCTGATGATTCACACACCACCAACCATCTCCCATCTGGGGTCCAAACTAGTCCTTGAGCATCGATGGTGTCCGGGTACCAGGATCGCTGAAGCTCTCTCGTACCAGGAGAATGGATGCTAATCATGTCCTTCCCAGAAGACCTCGTCAGCAAGGCAAGATGATTTGTCTCTGGCCGAAAGGAGCATCCTTTAGTCGCAGAGACGGCACTGTAGAATTTGGGGCTTGCAATCTCTACGGCCTTTGAACTTGTAAAATTGACGAGCGTTAACTTAATACCGAAAGGCGACCAGATGCATACCTCATCGTCAGTAGCCCCAAAGTTGATATAGGTAGACCTGCCGGCCGACGGCGGAATCCTGACAACGCCATGGAAATTGCCGCTTCTGGCCGAGAAGACATGTATCTGATCTATGGTAGCGACTAGAACCCTCGTAGAGGAAGGTGACCAGAGAAAGGTCGTCACACTGGTCGTGAGATCCAGTGGAAGTTTTATATTTCGGAGCACATCCAGAGATGCAATGGCCCGTATAACAATGTTAGGCGGTAGAAGGATCGCAATCAGTTCACCATTTGGACTTGGGTAAGAGTGAGATGACGCTAGTTATGAGAGTCAGTGTCCGTTTCTAATTCCAAACAACTCAAATAGGGGGAATGGCGAAAATTTAAAGGGCAGAGATGTATAACATTGGGTAAGTTCCTACACTGGAGAGCTTTTGAGAAGCGCATGATATATTATATTCACCGGAATAATCCGGTACTGGATATCAAGAATGGCTATTTTGAAGTTGTGAGATGAGACCGGTGACCGGTGAGAGTACTGTCGTCAGACTTTTAGGTCATTACCACGTTGATATGGCAGAGTTGACCGTGAAATGATAGAGATCTAAATGATGGTTAGCTGACTGGTCAATCAACTGTTTCGAATTATCAGCTCATTGACACAAAAAAACTGGAGCCTCACATTTTCAGCTATTGTTTTTGTTGACTTTCGGAAGTACAAAGTCAATGTTTCAATCTTCCAAGGCTCCTAAGGTCCCGACCCAGTGGGACGCCGCAACGACTTCGGGAATACGCCCCGCGCCAGGCCCACCTTTTATGCTTATCCGACCTTGGGCTTCAATTGGCTTTGGTTCCAGCGATAGCAGCTGTGCTGACTCATCTCAGCTTCATAAGGCAGGTACAATACATACATCTCCGCGCTTCGTGGCAATAATGACCGTGTTTTTCTTTCATTCTCCAAATCGACAAATAATTTGTTCAAACTTCGAAAGACGACCATCTCATATAAAAAAGGGAAATCGCATTAACCATGATGCATTGCTTTCCTTAAATCTTCAGTTCGGCGAAACATCTTAACCGCCTATCAAGATGACGCATAGAACTTTCTCGACTCATCTCGCACGGGCCGCATCTAGGGGTCTGAACCCCCCTCCGATTGGGGGACATCATGTTGAGTCCCTACGACGACTAGGTACGGCGGGAGCTGTAGCGATCCCGAATATTACAGAGCCGCAAAATCCGGTCCAGGCGCCGCCAGCTCGGCCTTCTCGCCGGCAGTTGTTGAAAGATGCAAAGCCGTTTTCGGACTTTCTTACGGACACCTTCCAACGGCAGCATGACTACTTACGCATTTCGCTCACGGAAAGGTGTAATCTTCGATGTGTCTATTGCATGCCAGAGGAAGGTGTCCCTCTTTCCCCTCCCAGAGAGTTGCTGACGACCCCTGAGGTTGTTATGTTGTCATCCCTGTTTGTTTCTCAGGGGGTTAACAAGATCCGACTCACAGGAGGGGAACCTACTATCAGAAAAGACATCCTATCGTTGATGCAACAGATTGGTGCTCTTCGACCGTATGGTCTGCGGGAGCTCTGCCTTACCACGAACGGTATAGCTCTTCACCGAAAGCTTGAGGGTATGGTCGAAGCTGGGCTAACCGGCGTCAACTTAAGCCTCGATACGTTGGATCCATGGCAGTTCCAAATTATGACTAGGCGAAAAGGCTTTGATGCCGTGATGAGGAGCATTGACCGAGTATTTGAGCTCAACAAACATGGAGCTGGCGTCAAGCTTAAGATTAACGCCGTCGTCATGCGAGGGATCAACGACCGGGAGATCATCCCTTTCGTCGAAATGACTCGCGAGAAGGATATTGAAGTGAGGTTTATAGAATATATGCCGTTCGACGGTAACAAGTGGAACGAGGGTAAAATGTTCAGTTACTCCGAGATGTTGGATCGTATTAGGGAGAAATTTCCTGGTCTAGAAAAAGTGCAAGGTCACAAGAACGACACAAGCAAGACTTACAGGATCCCCGGGTTTGTCGGCAAAATCGGCTTTATCACGAGCATGACGCACAACTTCTGTGGGACATGCAATCGTCTTCGCATCACAAGCGATGGAAACCTCAAAGTTTGTCTTTTTGGAAACGCTGAAGTCTCGCTGCGTGATATCCTGAGAGAATCCAACGGTGGAGAGCCGATTGACGAGGAAGCTTACGAAGCAATGAAAAAGATCGAGATGAACAGACAACAGCAAATATCAAACGAGCCAACTCCTCTTCACTTGTCACCTAATGAGCAACGGCTTCTCGAAGTCATCGGCATGGCTGTGAAGAGGAAGAAGGCTAAGCATGCTGGTATTGGCGAACTGGAACATATGAAGAATAGACCCATGATACTCATAGGTGGGTGACTACTCCTATCCCTTGGGGCAAATAATCATACAAGGGATCATATAAACACTCACGATTCCGATCCGGGGCAACTGGGAGAAATCGAACTGAACGAGCATATTTCAGGTCAGCAGCGATTCATGCCGGATAGCCGTTCACAAGTCTTGCCTTGGGATGTTGTCAGGAATCCTCTTGTCATACCCTCAGCCCCTAATAGTGTCGTCTCCTGGTTACGTACCCCGCCAAATAACATCGTACACGGGCAACACTTGCGGTGCTTCTCACACACGAGCCTACGGCATGATGAAAAGAGCAACGTTGTCAAGTTGACGCATGTGTCCGAGTCTGGCTCTGCTCACATGGTGTCTATTTCGGAAAAGACGCCGACCAAGAGAGTCGCCAAGGCTGCATGCAGTGTTAACTTTACCAATGAGATCGCCTGCAAGCTCATAAAAGAGAATCAGATTAAGAAGGGCGATGTTTTAGGGGTTGCCCGACTGGCAGGGATCATGGCCGCAAAGCGAACATCGGATCTCATCCCGCTATGTCACCCTATTGCAATTACCAAGGTCACTGTAGACCTTGCCGTACGTGAAAACGACGATAGTAGCAAAGAGCACGGGGGTGGTCGAATTGAGATCGAGGCCACCGTAGCTTGCGAAGGCAAGACAGGGGTAGAGATGGAAGCTTTAACAGCTGCTTCCACGGCAGCTCTTACTGTATATGATATGTGTAAAGCAGTAGACAAAGGGATGTGCATTCAAGGCTTGAGAGTCGTTCTCAAGGAGGGTGGCAAGAGTGGCCGTTGGGTTGACGGTGCTCGGGACGATTTAGCTGGGCCAAATGAATAATACGACTTGTTAAACGATGCTTCAATTACCAAAATGTTAATGATCGTGATATACGTACTCCTACCAGGCAGGTTGCCCCGCGGGGAACGGGGAAGTGACCCAGATACCCGGAATCTTTACTGACATGATTGTGCTACCTACTATCATCAGCAAATTCCAATAATAATCTCAAGATGCCTTCCAATACTCTCTCTGGTAAACCCCTCTCATAGCATGTAAATCTGCCTACTAGTTCAACTATCGTCAACAGTAATGCCGCGTGAGATCGTTACTGAGGTACTGAATAATGCCTTGAATTGGGTTGCGGACGCTGACTCGGGCACTTCGGGATGCCGGTATCAACCCCGCCAGGCTGAAGATCTCTGAGTTGGAAATGTTTTGCCCAGCTGTGGCGGAAAGCCAATTAGGCTTTGACGATAACAAAGTCGACGTCCGGTCCACTTTGAGGACCCTTTCCCAAGCTCCGCGGGGCAACGCACATACATAGTAAACGCTATATTTGGAGTCTCACTGTGTGGGGCTCGGGACATGAGGTTTGTTCCAATAAAAGTCGAGGTGGTATGCGCTATGTAGTAGGTGCATGCGTAGTTCACTTCGCATATTAGAAAAGACGCATAAGAAACGGGAATCGTAAAGAGACCTTGATCTTCTAGATCTTGCATATTACTTGATCGGCCGGATGGTTGAACGCAAAATTTCTTCTTTAAGCGTTTGGACGCTTGCGAGTGATACGCTCCGGTGTCATGGATGCTTGCTGATTACCTACCGAAGTAGACAAGTATGATTTCTGGATGATGTCAAACCACGAGGCTTGCGTTATTAGTGTCGGTCAGTGCTTAAGCTGTGCTTGGCGAGTAGTGCGTGCTCGTACATCCAAAGGGGAGTATTGACACGTGAGAAGTTGTGGCAGGCCAAATGAGAAACAAAGAAGTGGTCAGCCGTGGCTTTCGTTAGGCCGTTAGCTATTCGAGTTCAGTTGCGTACCACAATACACAAACCAATTCGGCGGTCAAGAAAGACCCTGGCAACTTTTGACAACCTGGATGCTGTTGTACAGGAGCAAGGAGCCTGGGAGCCTCGACTTCGAGGCCGAAGATCCTAACGCACAGGCATTAGTGAACTCGTAACCTCCAATCAACGGCGACTCAAAGATAAACCTGCAGCATCACAAACACTGTGCTAGACTGTGCCGCTCCTATCGCCGCGCTAAAGTGTTTGGAGGGGCTAAGGTAAGAATATCCGCATCGCATCGAGGATGCCGTCAGACTAATAGTAGAGTTCATGTTATTAATTTTCCTAGATCTCGTTGTTGCTCTAAGATCCCCGGGTTTTAGAGTGTCTTGCATAAGGTTGTAAAGACGGAATTCTAGTGCTTGCATCTTACTCATCTCACAGGCAAGTAACAGTTCGTCGAGATTTGACGGTTGATATCGAGTCGAGGGTAACCTTGCTGTGAATAAAGCAGCGTACTGCGGGTGGTCGGTTCGTTGGTGGAGCCACCAGGGCCACCAAGAGTCTAGGTTCTGCGCACTGCGTATTGTAGATCTTGCCGTCCGACCGGATCTCGAGAAAACAACGCACGGTTAGATTGTGACGAATGTGAAGTCATCGTTAACAGGCCTCCCAGATCTTCATCGACATGACAATCGGCAGGGAATTATACTGCTGCAGAAAACCCGACTGCTATAACACCAGGTCGGTTACATCGCGATATATTGCTCCGGGGGCTAGCTGTTGTAGTAGCCAAACGTAATAAGGAACGGACTGGCGCGCCGGCGTAGTACAGACAACTCCAAAATGCGAGGTTTTCCTCAAGACATCAACTGTATTGGGAAGTCGGATCTTTCTTGGGAACCTGGTTCGAGGTTACTTAATCTCGATCCATCATGGACTATGAAAGTGATTGCTCAATTTGTCCTCTCATCGGGATACTCGCTTTGGTTCTCGAGATGCTAGTCTGTTAGTATGCCGTTATTTAGTGGTTGCGGAGAAATCTCCTAGAATCCCAGGGTGCTTGATGAGACAGCGCCCGAAAAAGAAAGGCTGGAAGGGTCCGAGGAGAAACCTGACGTAAGTCGACGGATTTTAATCCGCCGAAAATCGGTATCCAGCGACCTTAAACAGATTGGGCAAGAGGACAGGCGAGCAAGCAGGAGCCGCCACTGTACTGTGCACTGCTAGTAGGAATTGTAAAGGCACCGGGAAGGAGTCCCTTGATCTAGGAGTGAGACCTGAGTGAGCTTCATGCAGTTCTGTTACATACATCTACGTATTGTAGGGTTTGGTCGGTTTTGTCGGAATGTGACTGTATTAGCAACAGCTATTAATAATTTCTTTTGCAGACATTGAAAGAGGTGTTGCGCATTGTAGAGGAAATTCCCAGAGGACCAACTAAGAGGAAGAGAATATTCGATGGATCTATCTCAGCATGCATACTAGGTACAGATTGTCTGTCTAATGTACATGGTACCTAAAAGGGTAGTGCACAGTACGAATTGAATCATGTAGACTTAGCTGATTTGTTTTAGCCAATCAGAATGATACGAAATATTATGGTGCTGTGTAAGTGGACGCCGCTTGGATGTATCGAGGGGCTCCCGGTCCACCAAAAGTGCCACTACGACCGGTCGACTACGGTCTTAGGCAAGGACGTGCCTAGGAAGGTAATGTGTATTTGTGTATTTGACAGAACGTTATTATCGTCATATCTCCTACCTTTCTTCTCTCCCCTATTACTACCTACATACCTACTATACTAACCCCGACCTCTATTCTCCCTTACATACATATCATATCTCCATATCTCCTACCTTATGCAAAAGGTATTCTTTCTCTAATCCCTCATATTTGGGTATCAGATAGAGTTAACATAACTTCCAACTGGAATACGTTTTATTTAACCTTATCCATCCCTTATCAATCATCAATCCCACCAGTTTCTATCACAAGCGTTCTCCCACTACCTAAGATAGTTAGTTGCGCAGATACGACTTAAAGTTGTGATCTAGGCTTTCAAACACCCTCCAAACCGAACTCATAAACTTTCCGACGATATCCTCACCATCCATTAGTTAACCTACCTACTTGGTAGTTAACTTTTACGATTCATACCTATTCTCTACCAGTCAGAGTCGGCGTGGCTTTGTGGATCCCAGGTTTTTATTAGGGGCGTTTGGCTTGTGCAATTCTTATTACACAATAAATTGGTCGCGCGACGGCTTACGCCGCTTATCGCTGCCCCAACATTCGCCAGTCCTCCATCGTCTTTCCTTATAGGAACCCGCTTTGTTCTTCTTGGACACCCTCCCACCTACTATTGTCCTAAACGCCGGTATTACAATTACAGTCCACGACATTTTTAAAGGAGGATGGCGACCGATTTCATCATGCCTAGGCTACACGAACAGCCGCAGGCGCATTTCTTCCCATATCAGCAATCTACCGTGCCGTCGCAATCCCCGACTTATCCGTCGCAAGGTTACCAATCCCAACAGATCTCACCTTTGAGCACATCGAACAATGCTTCGCCAACGTCGCCCAAGCCATACCATCGCCAGCGATTACGGCCTCTCTACATGCCCGCCGTTTTAAGACCGACAGAGCACCCATCGAAGAAATTAATAGGGAGGAAGACGGAAGCGCAAGATGATGATAGTCAGGTATCGCCAAACAACAGCTTCATCAACCTGAGCGGATTGAGCGCGCTCAGTCGTTTGAGCCGTCGCACCACCGGCGATAGCGGAAAGTGGGTAGATGGCGACTGGGATTTGGACATGTTTCCCAAACCAACGGCGCAACCCACGCGACAACACTGGAAAGTAAGCCTAGACCTGCAACCCCGTGTCTCAGATATGCAGCCCTGTGGGCTGCGACACCTCAAAACCACATGACTTCATCCTATTCTTTTCCTGTTTTTCAAGGTATTACAGGACCTTCAGCTAACGTCTCAAATTCAGCCCGACCCGGAGTCTACAATATGCGATGAGCCATCATGTCTGCGCCACTTCAACTACTGGACGCGTCGACATCATTGCCGAAAATGTGGCAATATCTTCTGCGACTCGCATTCCGCCTTCGATGTTCCTCTCGATCAAGACGCAAACTACAACCCGAGAGGCACGCCTAGCCGAGCATGCTCCCATTGTTTTTCGGAGTTCAAAGCGTGGCGTAGTCGAACAAACAGCCAGGCTTCCAGCGAAACCTCTTCTCACGCAGGCTCGCAGACGGTACCTACGAGCCCAGCTGTCTCGACCCCTATCAATGGCCAAAATGGCCACCATCAAGACGTCGCCATGAGTGTTCCCCGTGACTGGAACTGGAGCACGTTCTGAAAGGATTGGCGTCGAATTAGTTCGCCCACTGGGGCCTCTAGATACCTCTAGATGTCCACAGGGCAGTTCCAGAAATCGAATTCTAAAGACATAATTACGATGATACACGACACAATGGACTTAATAACGACGGCAAATTTTCCGACGACACCAGAACATACAACATTCACATACATAGACTAGAAGTTCCTGGGATAGACTGGATACATGCGACCCATACCCATCCCATATTTGCACGAGTTACATGGACAGCATGGCGGTCTTGTACTTTCTTTCAAGGCTACGATACCCGATTTTAGTGGATTAATTCCGATCTATAGATCTGTCGGGAGGGCGAGGGGCGAGGGGCGAGGGGCGAGGGGCGAGGGGTGAGGGGACGATATAATGTATAGGGGGGAGCATCATGTCATTTACGAACTGCATCCTTGAGTCAGGTAACTGGGGAGTTCTGGTAATAATTGGAATGGGGTTTTCTGGGCATGCATCTCGGGGCATTTAGAAAGGAATTTTGTTTTGGCTTGGAGTTTTGGGGTTTCGATGAGGCACCACCGAGTGCAGGATTGGATGCTGGAGTACCAAACCAAATCGGTTTGGTTACACGGCGTTCACGATACGGAGGTCTCTAACCGAGTACTTAGATTAATCGGACTTGATTTTCATGATAGTTTACCTAATCCGACCGAGTCGCGGCATCGTCATTTCCGATGAGACATGCACCTGTCGTTAGTTTAACCGACTTACTCCGGGGCCAGTCGCAGTTCATCTTTCTCACGTACCTAATGTAAGTAATCGATGTTCTGACCTTCTGTCCAATCCCGCGGTAGCAATTGCTCCTCCTGGCACCGAACTAGGTACAGAGAGTTGCTTCCCTGCTCTATTAGCGACATGCCCTTCCTAGGAGTGCCGGCGCAAAGCAGGCAAAGTACGTAATAGCATGTGCCGCGCTCGGTGAGGCTACGACGGTCTAGGTAATCAAGTCCATGTAAGCGGCAAGTCCGATTCTAGGTAGTCTCCACTTAGATACTTTAGATACGTACATTCTAAGCAGGTAAGGTAAACTTTTTAGGTGACCTAACCTATTTAGCGTTGGGCCCACCCGACCTGGTGGAACCGGCAGTAGCCGTAAAAGAAGGTAACCTTACATATGGTACGTACTTAGTAGATACTTCTACTTCCACCATTCCACCAATACCCACCCAAAACATTGACATCCTCAGTTGCGAGACGGCCAAACACACATCTGGGATGTGACCAGAGAGCACATTGATTACTCTAACTCATCTACGTACCATTGCGTGTATTCGAAGTGCCAAGGTGCGTATAAATGTATCACTGGCCGTTGACGAAAGCCTGGTTTTGCCTGGGCAGCTTTCGCGGTGCCAATTCAACGCTCCGGCGCCCGATGATGCCTCTTGGCTCTTCCGGGATCCCCGATCCCGTTTCGGCAAGCTCCTCGGCTATCAGTAGGCCGCAAGCTGCGGCGACTACTCTTCGTGGGTGGTAGCGTACCTAGGCAAAATGCAAATTTCTCATCGCCACCGACGGCGGAGATGTCGGCGTCCGGAACGCTCAAAAATGCTACCTTTGCCGCGTCTAAGTCGTTAGCCACAGCGGTGTGATAATGCACAGGCATACCTATACACCTATGTATTCCCAATGGGCCACCTCAGGCGGTTATGGGCATTAACCGCCCTCCTTCGTCAGAGGCGGGGTAAGTATGTAGGACGTCTTCCGAAGGAAGAGAGGGAAAAGAATCTGGGTGCGCCTCTTGGCAACGTCTGTCAAGCATATACTCGCGCACGTCTCCCGCTGAGTACGTCGACCAATGAATAGATTGGTTTGGGCAGTCAATCGGAAACGACCAGGAACCCGGTAATACAGACCCAAAGTCGACTCTGCGGCATGTATGATATGATATTGCAGGCGCAAGGCGCGTGATCTTGGGCCGAGTTCGCTGTGATGGAAAGGGATGCGCCCTATGTGGAGCCAAGAGCATGGGGGAAAATCCTCACGATGTCCGTCCCCGCCGCTTTGTGTGCGGGGGGGCCAGCAGCAAGGGAGCCTGCTGCAAGAAGACCGGAGAGATCGTGAGAATTTGATGGAGCATTGCTCAAGCATCGTCAATACGGTCGCCGACTTTTGCGACGTCTTCAATCACGTCCGTGGCGCAAATCCGAGCTACATACCATATGCATTGTCATCTAATTGTTGTCGAATGTTTACTTTGGAGCACGACGTTGCTTAGGGGTAGCCTCAGGACTAATGTATGTATCACACGAGTGGACATACTGAAACAGCATTAGGACGATGGGGCCACCAAAGGTGAGACCTGAGTGGGTATCTTGCGCCTCGTATCCGACCTATTCACATTTACCCCTTTCTTAAGGAGCCACTCTACTACAAGACCATTTCCTCACTATCTGTGTTGCTCAGTGTCGTGACACCAGACATACTGTTAGAATCGCCAATGCATTTCACGCGGGCCGAGAGATGCAGTAATAATACTTCCATAGCTATTCACAAAATTTGTCTCGCCCTAACGACGTCGACCCAAGCTATTTGCTTTAGTTATCGGAATTTACATCATCATCATCATCCGACGACTTATTTCCTCCACCCTCCCCCATAGTACAATTTGCACTACCCACATGCCCTAGCAAAGAGGCACACGGCGGGGGAACCCCTTTCGTTTACTTGCTAACTTACAGGTCAAAGAGATCCAAAAGTGATCTTGGTGCCTCAACTTAGCGATCATACCTAGTGATCGTACTTAGAACACACATACTTCTCTACTTCAGCATCGAGGATATTCTGATTCTGGGGCATCTCAACAGAAATTGCGACACCTCTAATAACGCCCCGATATACTCCGCTCCATCACTGGGCTCGAGACGCAGATGCTAGCGCGGTGATCGACTTTACTATATGTGTTATAAGAAGATGGGGTTTTCAGGCCAGCATTCCAAGATCTTGTAGTTTAAGATCGAGGTACTCAATTTTGCAAATCTTTCACTAGGATGATGTTAGACTCGAACCGATCCTGCCTCTAACTATAGCCGTTGCTACCGCAAAGCCATAGTGAGGAATCGAAGATATCTTCCGACATACTACCATTGGACTAGGTCTAGCTAATAAATTGCGGGACTGGCTTGTCGAATATCTCACGAGACAAGGATAAACTACGCAGTGCTAGACAGCAATATAAATGGGAAAGTAAGATGAGTCTCTTATAACACTGAGACTTTGCTTAGTATCCAGGGGCCGATCCCCAAGCGAAAACAACTGCCTGAACCGACCGCCGTAATGGCGGCCGCTCCAGGGCTCACACGCTTTAGACCTAAGCGGATTGACACTGATAGCTGTAGAACCGAAGAAAACGATGACCCAACGGGGCACCCCCGATTTGATTTAAGTACGCCGGACACGAGCTTACTTGGAGGAGCCCACGGGAACGGTTAAAGCATAATCATGTGTGCTGACAGGTTAGACATGTAGGATATTTCGGGTAAGACTGGGACCTTGTTTTGTACGATTAGAAACTAGAATTAGACCTCGAAGTAGCTTTACACGCCGCATACCCCTAGGGAGGTTTGCGGGGGAAGGTCATTCCCCCTTGCCCCGGCGTTAAATATACCAACCAAGCAAAAACAATACAATATTTAGTTGTCGGTATTAAAATGTCTACGAGTGGCAAGCATTGTCACTATCATCAAGCTCACAGTAGATAAGTCTATGTAATACATAGGTGTTTATAAAGCATCCAAATCATGAAATTATATCACTTAAATTGCATATAGGTTTCGGATTTCATGTGGCTACAATCAAACTAACCCCTATTCTAAGTTCTATATGAACCAGTGTCCTTTCTCCCAGTCCCAATTTCATCTTGGCTGTGTCCCTCTAGGCATGTCTGGAATGGTATCTAATCACTAAAATTACATACAATGAGAAGGGGAAAAGATGAATAAATGCTGACTACTTTGGACACATCGTATACACAAGTGTCTATCTTGTTGTCATCGTTACGTCAACTCTTCTCCATGGAAGACCTAACTCAAACTTTTCCTTAGCAATGGAATTATAAACCAACTCGTCTCCGGCCGTAAACCACCCGATGCCGCTGAGCTTTGAGCTTATGTTTCTAGTCTCTTGAACCACCATCGTACATTAGATCCTATTTCTTCGACAATCTCTAAACTCCCTCGTCGGAGCTGAAACCGAAGAAGCACAGGTACCTGGATAGCTCAAAAGTGAGCCCTCTTACTACCGTTTCTCATCGTAACACAGCTATAAGCTGTGAGACCCGTCTCCCTAACAGAGCCCCAGAGATGACATGAGCTGGAAAGCAAGGCAAGATTAATATCATCGGTGGAGAGTTTGACTGACTGGCATCTTATTGTGCCAGTGGTAGGGCACCGCCAGTAGGGTCACCTACATTATTCTCCTCTGGCTGGGTTTTCGAAGTAGTGATGCTAACAGATTTACTCTCAAGCACGGAGTTCTTATATTTAGAAGATACTATTATTGCTATGCCACTTCGGCGTCCTACAGACTTACCCAAGTATTATCCCACTTCCCCTGTACTATCACCAGATCGTATCAATACTTGATGTTTATCGGTAAGGATCTCTCTACCCTTACGGCACTTCCATTGAAAGCCGCTACGGGGACTGGGAGGAAAGTTAAGCAGCCAGTACATTCGACTCTCTCCCGACATCTACATAAACCTTTCTCTGCTTATTATCTTTTTCAGCTATCTCACAACATCCCCGAGGCTTGGAAGAGTCTTATTAATAGCTATACCAGCAAGGAGAGTCACGGGCCCCTTAAGAGAGCAGAGGAACCAGTTTCAGCTGCAGTTCACGCCGGCCCGGAACTGTCTCCTCCAGTTCACCATCCCGGTCTTAGTCTAGACATTCTAGGAAAAGCAACTTAGCTACCTACCTAGTACCAAAGTAGTCTGTAGAGTAGTACTTAGCCTCGGGAGGTAAAAAATTACCCACCCCCATATCCTCATCTCATACGCCCATCCCATCGTCCTTCCCATCCGACTCTTCTCATTTTCCGTTTTCCCCCTTGTTATCGGACTTTCATCCACGAGACATATTCTCACTACACGAGCGCGTGGTGGCTTGCTGGACATGCATCACAACTGTCATGGACTGGTCATATCACCTGCAATGAATCGCAAGCTTTCCGACTAGTTGATCTCGTCTTTTGGTGGTTTGGCTCAATTGGCAGGTGGAGTCACCAAGCATAGAGCTCAATCCCTACGTCCTGACAACAACACTGATTCTACGCTAAAGAGAAAAGAGGTAAGTTCTAGTCCTAGTTGCGCGGGTAAAACCTCTCAGTGACCAAAAAGCTCAGGTGGCGTGAGGAAGAGCGAAAGGACAGCGTGGTGACTGGGCTATTGTGCAGAAGAACGATAGATAGAATGGCAAAAGAAAGGCCGGGTTGTTAAGGAAAGATAGGGTTTAGGGGATGTTCCATCACTTTAGTCGAAGGTAAGGTACGAACAACTGTATTCAGGTACTGCTAATGAGAATGAATGGGTCTCCCGAGTTATTATTCAAGCTATAGCACGCACTCATGAACCGTAACCGCACCCTTATCATGGAGACCCCTATTCGTAAAGGGTCGGTATACTTGCTTAGGTAATCATTATGAAGCAAAAAAGGGAGTTAACACATGGTCATGAAACATTTCTATATCTACACGTGAAGCAAAAACGCTTGTTCCGAATATATACAACGAGTCCGGATTTCGCTCTCATTGCCATGACCGAAACTTCATCATAGGCTTGTTCTCGTACCCATTGCCTATTCCCTTCATGCAACATGCTTTTCATAGCCACCCCTTTTCCTGGCTTCCCAAACTCCGGATATGATATATTATAGTGGTGGGGGACCGGTACAGTATCGCTGTAGTATCTCACGTACCTATGTTAGTAATTCCCATTAATTCGAATTTCGCTGGTTCTTTCCACGTCTAATACGTAGATGTTTTAGGTCTACCCTAATAATGCTTGCCGTTTGCTACCCCACTCGTCTTTCCGTTGAGCCTCCCGTTGGTCTTTCCATTGACCCCGTTGACTCGGGCAGCAGATGATGGATGTAACTTGTCGTTGCTGGTCGAGTCGTCGCTATCTTCGACAATCGCACCTTCATTACTTTCCCCGTACACTTCGCGTTCAAGACCTTTCGCGGCGTCCCAGCTAGCCTTCTCCGCTAACATAACGTTGCTAAGACGTCGGTCAGGGTTGACCTTAGCACGTACGACTTCTGCCTTGCTGCGGCGGAGATAGCTTGCAACGAAGAAAGACGTAAATAGATAGGTCAGGGGAAGCAAATAAAAGACGTTGAGCCAGATAGCGAAAGTAGCGCCTGTCGTCGTAATACAGTCGACTTTCTGGTATCGAGTCACGTAACTAGCAGTTGGGTCTGCGGAGTCGGCTACCACAGCAGCAGCTCCCACGGCTTCAGCAGTGCCGAACAGTGTTTGCTTGAGGCTATCGAGGAAGCTATCAGAGCTAGGAGTAGCAGTTGCAGCAGCGGCGATGCTAGATGCGACAACAGTAGCCTCAGAAGTGGCAACCTTGACCTGGACCGGAACCGAGTACGAGATGAAGGAGTGAATTATGGCAGCAGATGCGCCAATGACGAATTGAGAAATTTGAAGAGAAGTAAGCGAGCGCTTTACCAGTGTAGGTACACGGATGTTGAAAGCGGTCACTGTGTAATAAGTGTACTATTCTAGAATTAGTAATTGCTAGTGCGAGCACTTAGTCTTGTAGTTGGTAACTTACCATTAGAGCATGGATAGCCGAGTTGAAGCACACGAAGATCCAAATAGGAGTCGACATGTAGCGCATACCCGCCCACATAGCCATCATGGCACCTGCATGGTGATAGGTCTGAAGAGTGGAGCTCAGCTTGCCCTTGGCGAGGATAATGAGTGTGTCGATAACTTCATAAAACTTGCTAATGTAGAAGAGCCAGCCATAGAATGCTAGACCCTCATTCCAAAGTCGTCCAGTTTCAGCCCGGCTGGGGAAACTTCCAGCTGCCAGAACATTGGCTCCAGATACTGATTCCCACACTCGTTGGTTCTGGTTGTAGTTGAGCGCATTGCCTAGACCAGTAGGCCCGTGAAACTTGCAGAGACTGTCAACAGTACCAGCCCAACCATTAGGTCCAGCCGGACTCACGACCGTGTTACGAAGAGCGTGGAACATGCCAATCCAAGTCCATGCTGAATAGACGGCAAGGAAGACATTATGCAGGACAACGAAGAAGTGGAAGGCCTTAGTTTTACTGATAGCCCAAGGTTTCTTGCCGGTGGACTTGTTGTAAGCATTCAACACCTTAGCAGTGATTGCATAAATGGTTGCGATCGTAATTGGGACTTTGGGGTCCAAAGCGCTGACATATAAACTATCCGGTATGTTGAAAGGTTGATCAAACTGCGGAGGAGGTATGGTTTCCGGCGCCGAATGAGGCGGGAATCTGAAGAGATTGGCCGCGGGAGGCGAGAGGAAAACAGCTGGTGCAGCCATGGTTGTAGTTTGAATCTTGGGTTCGACCTCGATTCCGATCGGTAGAATCTGAAGAGCTAAAGACAGTTATGAGGTAGTACAGATTGCACACGCGACAAGTCGTTATATGTGTCCCAGCGCCGAGCAAAGTGACTAGGGGATGATTTGGAGTTTTACGAAGGCATCGAACAGTGAACTGGAACGATGAGTTCGAAGGATTCGAGGGGAAAGGTGATTAAAGATGTACACCAAAAAAGGGATGAATATAAAAGGGCAGAAATGACTGTCTTCCTTCTCGATGCTACAAAATATGTGTGGCTTTTTCTATAATATTATCAAGCAGGAAGAAAAGATAAAAAGAACTGCTAACACAGCAGCTTGTAGCTTGTAGCAATTGGACCGCGGCATAAAACCATCCCTGGATCGCGCTAAGACTAGGTTTTGGCTGGGGTTGAGAGTTCCAAGGTTGAGAGGCCAATGGCAATCGCGCAGTAGTCACGCTACCCTTCCGCCGTTCAGGTGCCACAGGGCTCAACAGTTGAAGGGGTAGCTTAGCTCCCTTCAACCCCATTGGTCCGTTCACTCATGGCCCTGCCAAATCGGGTATAAAACGCTGTTTTCGGGTTGGACTACTAGAACTCAATTCCAGTGCCCCCCAGTGCCGTCATCCGTGTTCTGTTGCACATCGTGCAATATTGAATACCTCGACTTCTTGGTGTCACCAGAGCAAGTTTCCTGCGAAGCATTGATAAGACAGCGTCTAACACGGTTCATCATCCGCGAAGCAGCGGCAATTCGAAGTCATTCCTAACTTTGATGTGACATGTGCTCATATACCAGTGTAGGATGCCGAGAGACCTCCTATGCCCAGCCCTAGTGGATCTCTTCCAACTGGATAGCGAAAGGCGGCTTTGCAGTGAGAAGCTCCCGGCCTAAGGGACGTATCAAGTCCCAAGCAAAGCCTGCTTCGGTGAGGGGCCAGATTCCATGGCGATCACCAGACTCAAAATGTTGGCGACGGGTGAGCTCGGGATATACCTCTGAAACCATGAATGACACGAAGTGAGACATACTGGCGAAAATCGAATAACTATATACGCCAGGACGTCTCTAAAATTTACCAGGATAGAAACTTTATTATGTATTTCTTCCTAATAACTGACTTCGAAAGGCGCCATCTATATACTCACGCACAACCGTGTGCAACAGTAAGCATTTTTATGTCTTAGTGAGATGAATCTGAAAAAGGTGGGAAAGCTCGAGTACTCGGACGGTCAGCCGATGTTCGACACGAGGAAGGTCGTTCAGCAAGGGGCTGTCAATGTAACCTGTTCGGTATATTGCTACGTTATCTGGCAGTTAAGCTTCGAATTTCCAAGATCCGTTTCCCAACAAAACGCTTGCTGTATCTTCCCCTCATTGGCCCCGCGTGTCGTGACTTTTTTTTTTTTAAGAAAAAAAATCTTTATTCTCCTTCCAGGGTCCAATGCCAAGAAGCGGTCTAGGGGGACCCAGTACGCGGGATGACGCGACAGATTTAGGAAACGATCTTTCAACAGATACGTACCAATCTAATAATCATTAGGTTCTTTTAGATAAGCGGCCGCAATATTTTAGCTCTGTCTATGATACATATATCCACGGATATTGGGAGATAAAGGTATGGCATGCTTGTCTAACCGTAAACTTAAAAGATTCAATATTCTGTATGAGCTGAAACCTCGAATCGAATTCATAATTATTGTGCACTACAACAATCGGAGCGACATAGAGCCGAGTTTGCAGTATGTAGATAATCAACAACAAAAGTACCTACGTAGAGGTGGCAAGTTCGCTGTCTCCAAATCTCCTAGAACTTGCCCCTCCCCCCAACAAATTTGTAACATGAATCTCGAGAATCTCGTTTTCGATACATACACCTAATAAATTCCAACGATTACCAGGCCGTACCCGCAAGTGAAGTTTTATACTTACTTATCTACTTACATAAGGTATACCCGATGGATCTACATCAATAATTTAGCTAGTCGCCATCCCCGGACGTCTTCGTCGGCATATTCGGGTGCCGCGGACACCTCTTGCTCCTATGCTCCTATGCTCCTATGTTCCTAATGTCGCCTTTCCTGGCGCACTAGAGAAACCACAGAATCCATTGGCTTCGCGAATAACTGCTACGATTAATTTAGACGAAGCCTTCGCGACCATGTGGGTGGCGACTAAGTATATCGAACTACTTGAAGTATGTTGATAACGTACTGACTTATGCCATAGGTTATAGACCATGGCTTTAGCTCGTAGCTGTCGCCTCCCGTGCCCCGCAATGAGGCTGCTATAAAGAGCTGAGCTTTGCCCTGACTCTTGAAGCTGATTTGATTGGCTCCTACAATCACGTGAATGGTGACGGCTAAGGAGCCGAGGTATAGCGCACGGTCTATACTGAATTCCGCAACTCGATCATGATTCAATACTCCTCTATGTGGTCAACTTCAAAGGCTTCAGAAGCGCCAAAAGGATGTAGAAGTCAGCCATGAAATAAATCCAATATAATTCCAATATCTATGAAGTCATTGTCTGAATTGTTACATAATTCACTATACAGCGAGAATCTAGCAAGTTTATATATTGGTTTCTGGAATTATATTCCCCGAAGTTGATCATCCTTATATCAAACGTTGCTACTTCCCCGCATTTACAATGGTTGCAACTCATCATCTCGCGGCCCCTATTCCCACCGAACTTCCCGACCTTGAATCTGATGAATACTTCTCTGAAGTACAATGGCAGGTCCTGTACGCGTTGGTTGACGCCGTTATCCCGTCAATTGTTGCCGAGCCAAGCGCGATAGACCGGAATGCCCAGCTGTGCATTTCCCAGTCTCAGTACGACGAAGCTTACGAGCACACTGAAAGATCTCTAAAGTTTCCACCGGACCCGCAGAAATTTCGCCAGTATATGGAAGCGAGCCCGTTGGACAACCTACGATTTACGCGACTGCTCAAACGTACCATACAGGGTGTCCCGCTCACCAATCGTAGACAACTAGGGCGTATCCTGAACATAATAGCGTAAAACATACTCACCTCTTGTTTCCCCTTTCGTGTAAGATCTAGAGTAACTGATGATATGAAAAGGACTCGTCCAGGCAGTCTGGCTGCGACGGGCTACTATACTCCTTTACACGAACAGCCAGTTCACGTAAGAGAATCAATCATCCAAGCATGGAACCAGTCTTGGGTTAGTGCTTGGCCATTTCTGGCGAAGACTATTACCAAGTTAGCTCGGGTATGTTTTGCGAAGACAGACCCCTTGCTACACGAAATTAGTGACTATAGGGATGTTGTCGACAACTATAGACCTGGGCCGTCATTTGACTTCAATTTCATGCAATTCGAAGCTGGAGCTGAGCCTGAAACTGTCGAGACCGACGTCGTGATCGTGGGCTCCGGCTGTGGAGGAGCTGTATGCGCCAAGGTCCTTGCTGAGGCTGGTCACAGAGTTATCGTTGTTGATAAGGGTTACTACTTCCCCCCTTCACGACTACCAATGACCGTTGAAGCAGCCCACGAATACCTCTACGAGGGTGGTCCTGCACTAACCGCTGACGGTTCTACTAACGTCATTGCGGGGAGTTGCTGGGGAGGAGGCGGGACCGTGAACTGGAGTGTGTGCCTGCAGCCTCAGGGTTATTTACGGCAGGAATGGGCAAACGAGGGACTAGGCTTTTTCACCACACAGGAGTTCCAGAATTGTCTTGATCGCGTGTGTGATTTCAGTAAGGTTTCTCTCGCTAATGCCTACGCATCAATGGATATGACTCTAGTGGTTCCAAAACTCCCAAGCAAATATAAGCCTTTGCATGTCTGAATAGGGTTTCGCTGACTATAACTGTAGTGGGTGTCAGCGATGCTCATATACGACATAATCACGGAGCGAAGGTTATCCTCGAGGGTGCAACAAAGCTTGGCTGGTCCGCTAAGCCATGCCCTCAAAATACCGGGGGCGCCGAGCATTATTGTGGTCGTTGTTCACTTGGCTGCGGATCCGGCGAGAAGCGGGGCACGGCTGTAAGCTGGCTTCCGGCTGCCGGCAAGGCAGGCGCCAAGTTCATCGAAGGATTTAGAGCCTCTGAAATACTCTTTGAGGGCGCAGGCGGCTCTAAGAAGGCAGTCGGAGTGCTAGGGGCATGGACGTCACGAGACGAGGAAGGGAATGTCCAAAAACCGGAGTCTGAAAGGACCCAAAGACAACTTCGAATCAAAGCGAAGAAAGTGATTGTAGCTTGCGGCACGTTCCACAGTCCGTTGCTATTGATGAGAAGTGGACTGAAGGTGTGATCCCGAACTGCGGATATAACGAATAACCTTAAGATTCGCCTGACTAACCCATCATTAGAATCCCCATATTGGCAAAAATCTCCACATACATCCCGTTAGTCATCTCAATGCCACTTTTGACAAGGACATCAAAGGTTGGGAAGGTGGGCAGGATCTATCTCATGGAAAATCCGGATGGTACTCAAGCTAATCGTGTTATGTAGGCAGTATCTTGACTAGTGTGTGTACCAGCTTTGAAAATCTCGACGGTAAAGGGCACGGGGTGAAACTTGAGCCGAGTAGCATGATTGTAAGGCCCCTCCGCATTGCATAACAATCTTCAACTCATAGAAGTTCCCTCGAATCTAGCCAGATATGTTTCTGTTCGAACATCCATGGCGGAGCGCTCTTCAGTACAAGCTTGATGCGCTTCGCTGCCGACAAATGAATACCTATATCTCCATAGCCCGGGATCGCGACACCGGCCGCGTGTATCCGGATCCAGATGACGGGCGGCCTATTATCGATTACCACCCATCAGCCTTCGACCGCAAGCATATACTAGCCGGTATCATCGCCCTAGCAAAGATGTGCTACATCCAAGGCGCGACCGAAATATGGCCTTTTGTCCATAGCGTACCATCGTTTGTACGACGTTCTAAACCAACCGGCCCTACCACGGAAAGGGGCGAAGACGACGACATCGATCAAGGCATCAACGACCCTGATTTTGTTGCTTGGATCGACAAGCTAGAGCGCACCGGGCTCAGCGCCCCGGACGCGACGTTCACTTCGGCGCATCAGATGGGCACTAATCGCATGAGCGCGCACCCGTCCCGCGGCGTCGTCGACCCAGAAGGTAGAGTCTGGGAGGCGCAAAACCTGTACGTGGGTGACGCGAGTGTCTTTCCATCTGCGAGCGGTGTCAACCCTATGATAACCAACATGGCCATCGCAGATTGGATTGCCAGGGGGATCTCGCGAGACTTGAAGAAAGATGATCGACTTCGCGCCGCTTTGTGAAATGTCTGACTTCGAGGGAGGAAGTGGCTTGAAATTTAACCCTGGAAAAGTCATGGAAAGTATACATCATTGTGTCAGTCATTACAGCCTATATTTGATTCTCTCCGGACATACATGATTGTGTGTAGGTATACATACTTAGGTATCTTAGAAGTAGGTGTATTCCTTACACAATGTAAACCTACCTCTTAGTGAGTACCTACTTAGCTTCCCTCTTTCAACTCTAGGGAACTTTTAAATTTTACGCGCGTAGACAGAAGGTCCCGAGTCTTTCAGGTCATACCGATTTGTGTAATTCTCAATCCTCACATATGACAATAGCATCCCGCATGTACCACAAAGTCTCACTTACCTAGGTGAACATGTAATTTGACAGGTCTGACTCGCTAGGTAAGACTTTCATCGGCCTAAGTGCTACATAAGGAGCTAGATTAAATATCAGCTCGCCGTTCGGTCTATTTACTCTCTTTGACATAGCGCTTTGCCACCGGCGTTGGAGAGTGAGATTTCCCACTCTAGGCTAGTGACCCTGTTGCGACTAAGAGGCTTCATTCGAAACCTGACTAAGTTCTGCTTACGGGATAATCTTACGGAGTTGGAGACTCTTGAGAGTCAACAATGCATTGCTACGCTGCTTATCTTGTAAGAGAAGATGAGGGGAATAATGGGGATTAACTATGGCTCCCACAGAATCTGCTTCGCCGATTCCCTGCAGCCAAAAACTTCACAATAGGGGTTGCGGGTTAAGACCCTTAACATTTCCCGCCTTAATGGGTTTTCTTACTGCCTAACTACCATAAACGCGCCCATGCTTCACTATAACGTCATAAAGATGCGAAACAATAAGGCTGTCGTGTCCCCTATCCTTCTATGTTGTCCTACGCGCACGAAACCTGGTAGCTTGAAACAAGCATTTACCAGCCGGCAGGACTGAGTAAGATATTGGGTCGCACGAGGGAGGGCCGGGGAAGGAGAAACTTCCGTCGAAGGTTAAAGCTAATATTGATGTCATACGCGCATCCCGGAGGCTCATTTTTGCGCTCACCCCTTTTTTTTGTTAGTCATTCTCCGGGCAACCTTACAGATTGGGTATCAAGGCTGTCTAACCTAGGTACCTAGTTAGCCTGGGATGAAGTGTCGCACACGTCGGCAGAATTCGTGCACCTTTTTGTTGCCATTCTATCGATGGAGATGAACGGAGGAGGTCTGTTGCCTTTTCTCAGTTTGCCGATGTGAAGGCATTATCGTCGATCACTCCACACAGGATGCGACGGTCAGCGTCTCTTTCGGTCAGTAGGGCTAGAGAAGACTATCAGACATGTACCTAGATTACATGATCTAAATGATACCACTCCCCGGCCTAAGGGGCCACGCCTTGCTTCGGCCACCCGTCCGGGAACACCTGTTCGTCGCTGCTCCGGGTCGTACATCCATCCACCCATTCATACATACCTACATATACATATGCCTGCCTATGTACATATCCTATAGCCTTCGAATTGGCGGTGAATGATGTATGCCCTATGTTTATGTACTTCGAATGTTGGCTATATTGGATTTTTCCTGTCCGCGGCTACTGCGCCGTCCCCATGCGAAATCTAGATGTGACGACGGTGACGCCACTTACTTTACTTTGTACGTTGGACGTTGTACTGGAAAACGAGAGTTAGGTAGGCAACGCCAACGGCTGCCATGCGGTGAAGCTTGGCATGCGGAGGTGCGGCATAGCCCCCGAAGCGCCTTCAAGTCAGGTAAGTCAGGTGTATTTGCCCAGCCCTAGAGCCTTACGTATTACCGCATGGCGAAACCTTCTAGCCCCCAAGGTGCCTGAGACGAATTAGTCCGTAAAGAGGAAAAAGGGGGGAAAAGGGGGGGAAAGACAAAAAACAAAGGCAAAACGAAACAAGCGACCGATTAAACTTTCCCGATAGTCTGGGAATAGGTGCGGCACGGCCGATTAACTTTCGGGCCTTCCCGCGTTTCTATTTCCGGCCCACTTGAATTTTCCATGGACTAAATGTAAATACATATTAACTACGTGGATATTAGGTACATATCCTAGCTCGAGGTGCTACTTAATATACTAAGCTTCTGAGTGAGTCCTGTTCGTATGGCATCCAATGAGAATTGCTGACACCGTACCTAGGGCCGCCGTTGTGGTCATATCCCCGAAAGGGAGTTTTAATGAATTAAAAAAAACCGGCTGAGTGCTTTAAAAGATGGAGGTGGATGTAACAGAAGGAAAAGGAGAAATTCTTCCCAGGATTAGGAGTGAGGGTAGGGGAAACTCAGCCGCACTAACCTCCTAACAATCGCGACCAACAGGCTATATTCCGTCTCCCCATCTTCCCAAGAAAACGGGGAAATCGCTGATAGGGCTGTTGATGATCCCGCCTTGTAATATGCCTCATCCGCATGAGATACATATGGGACAACGTCTGGGCATCTGCGCATCTTACGGTCAGCACCTTGAGAGGGGCACGGGAATTGGTAGGTAAGCAAGCATATGCGGGAATCGCGCGAATGTCATAAGATTTTTGATGATACATTTACTCCGGACTCCTTTGCCAACTCTCTCATTTTCTCACCGCGTGTATTCCGTTACGATACACCTGGCGCTTAAGATCCCGTGATATATCGACCTGCATCACACAGCAGCACGGAAATTAGACTATGTATTAGGGAGAGAAGTAATTTTCGCATGATACCAAGGTTTGCCTGCTATTTACCTACTGGTTGTTTAACGAACGTCGTAGTCACACCATGCCGCGGTGAAGAATATGGAACTTGTCGTCTCGAACAACGGCCCTTATATGAAAATACGCCGTAGATTGTCAATGCTAGATACTCTCTGCCGCAGCCCTACATCCGCATTTATACCCTACCATATCGACTTCTTATCAGAGCGCTGTTTGGCCTATGTTTTAAGAGACGTACGTCTCGGCAAAGCCTATGGCTGGAGCACTCTTCCGAGCTACCCTTTATGTCCGCGTGGCGCAGCAAGAGACACATGTCAAGTACTCCCCCAAGAAACGTGAGCACCACGCAGCCTAGGTTGTACCCTCCATACATCACACCCATCCCTTAGGTACGGTACCCAGCGAAAAGGAGTCCTGAAGATCCCCCACATTTTCCCCTAACGAAAATAAAACAGCATCCTAACGGAATAGGGCACCTACCTACCTATTCGGTACATCGACCATGGGCGGGATCCGCGCCGTCTCGGACCCACGGCAGGACGGATCTATATACGCGGGAAAACGCACTACTAGTATGGATACTATGAATATCATATCTAAGTATGTCAGGTGTAATTGTAAGAGTCAAGTCCTAGGTAGGCGGCTAGAGTCGTAGTAAACCAGAGGATCCATTGACCGAGAAGTGGGTTTCGAATATTCAAATGTTTCCATACGTCGTAGCAGCAATAAACCTCACCAACAACTTGCTTGTCTCGACGTGAATTAGCCCGCCGTTGTCCCGGTATCACTCAAACTTTGCCATGGATAGGTCCTAGGAACCTACCTACCTACCCAGCTAGGCTTCCTCGCAACAGCAACTCCGGGTAAAAACTATCCCATCCTATTCCCCCCGTCCCCAAGGATCCCTCTACACGCATCCCTTTTCGTGCGACTGCGTCCACGCATGATATGCGGTGTACCGTCGTAAAAGAAAAAAAGGGCTCAAAAAATCTCGTCCTTATTTTTCCCTTCCATTTTTCTGTTGCGCAATTATTTCTTTCCCTTGCTGTGTTGCTGACACGCATACCATGCGCATGGTATGCCGCATACATATTATAAAGAGCTTACTACTTGGAGTCGCAGTGCCACAAAACGGGGAACAGGTTCGACCGGAAAGGAAAGTCCCAAACAGCACATCCATCCCAACGGCCGAAGTTCGAAGCGGCGCGGCGCATGTAACGAAGTGTTACGTTCCCTTCCCTCTTTTCTTACTCATGCACGCCCCAAGCGTTGGAACCCAACCGCAGAAAAAAACAATAGAGAGAAAAGATAGAAAACAAGTCACCTGCGGAGAAAAGACATGTGGCACATGTTGCTATGAACTTGACAATGTTCAATTAACTAGATACTATATGTGACTTCAAACTAAACAATGCAGGGGGGAGCTTTTTCCACAACTGTCGGCGGCGTTTGAAACTGCCACCAGGGCCACCGCCGACATTACACCATAATCCAGCATCTCATGCCACCCGGTTGATACAATGCGCAGCAATGTATCCCTGTGTGGCTCACCTTCACTCTGGCCCGGGGAAATCTTTTTTTTTTCGCGCCGGGAGGATCCGGAAGTAGTGAGACGGTGCTACATTTGCCGCACATCATTCCTAGCCATTTACCCCATCAAAGGAACAAACCATCTCCCTTCGTCGGCTATTGCGGCTTTCTGCATATCTAGCAGTCCGCACCAAGTATGCCCACTCTGAGTTGGCAGAGCTGCCGCGTCTTGCATCCAGCTCGACGCGGCGCTTAGTTAAGCCTCCAGGAGAGGTCCTGTTCCGGGGGGGTGTATGTGATGACGGTTCTAGGAATGATGTGGGCAAGACGGCGAGTAAAGGGCTCCGCACGTCCCCGCTCAGCAGGGATTTCCATATTATGCCCAGCTTCTTTTATGTGATCGTGAGATCTTTTCCCCTCTCGCTTCCAAGTCCCAGCTATTGAGTTTCCGGATCGTCGCCGATCTTGCCACGGCTCAGATCGCGAAATGCTCAAAAACGCCTTGGCATGTCTGACAACCAGTGTCTTCTTTCATGTCGGTTTCTATGCGCAACTTGTAGAATCGACCGCGTAAGAAATGCAAATAATAGGATCCGGTCCTTTGCATTCTTCCTTTCGAATAATCCGTCGTCGCTTGAATGGGATTTCGTATCTCGGAGAGGATGTTCAACGTCAAGTTGAAAAGTCGTCCTTTCGTCGTGTGAAGTCGTCATTAAGCCCGTTGGGGAGCATTCGTTATTAGGTCGTTCGTACAGTCGTAACTCATGAAACCGAGGCCTGGGAAAAGAAAAAAAAGAAATTCTCTTGGAGCGAGTGCGCTGACCGAAGGATCGAATTTAATCGCCCTCAATGTCGCGTTTATTTGATCGGGGTATCTTTTCTAAGAAAGCCGCTTTATGCCGTATAACGAGGAAAAGAAAAATGTGGTAATCCAAAATCCACTTGTCCAGTCCTGGTCTTTGCCGGGCGATGATTGGGTGCATTGCTGCGTATACCTCTTATTTTAACGTATAAAGGAAAATCCGACCTCATATATCTCGAGGCGCTGCCCTACTTGTAAATGCAATCAGATAACCCACCCAGTCCCTGACATGATGAGGTGAAAGGAATACAGCCTATGACCGAGCTGGCGGTTGTTATATAGGGGATATATTTCCCGGTAAAAGATCAGACGCTCGCTTGCTAAACATAGAGAAGATATAAAAAGAAAAAAACACCGATTATTATATATGTCAAACGATCGAGAGTTCGCTCCTGGTTGATGCAAAACGCCGGTATGCCTTGGGGATGCGATGAGATCTATGCCGCGGATCCCTATCCCTTGCTTGGGCTGAGGGAAACCCGAACCAAAATCGTTTACGAGGTCGTTACCACTGGGTGGTGATCCCCCGTGGTAGACGGTGGTTGTCATATGGTTGTCGTATACTCTTGATATCGATCCCAGCCGAAGCCGCCGTATCCAACACCTACACCACATTGCGACGCCAACATGCTGGGAAGCGGCAGCGCCGGAATTGGGGACGTCACCATTGGCGAACTGTAAAACATCCCTGCCGTAGAATATGGCTGGCTATACGGTACGGTGGGCGAAGGTACTTGGATCTCGTGTAGCGACATGTTAGCCCATATCGGTGTAGTCGACTCTACAGAAGACGTGACGCTAGGGCTAGAAGGCAACACGCGCCATGGCTCAACCGGGGCGGGCATCGCGGGTGAAGGGGTAGACTGCGACCAAATGTTTGCGCCTATGGGCGAGCTGGGCAGCAATGGCGGTTGGCGGACAACATCGACGATCTTCGGCGGCGGCGGTAGCAGGGGTTTATTCAACAATCCCAAGATGCTATTTTTGACCTCCTCGCTCTTCCCACAAAGCAACTCTCCAGCTCCCTCCTCTTCTAATCCTTCCAGAGCAGAAACGTGGGTCCTGAAAACAAACTTGTTGATAGCCTGGACAAAGTCTTCGTGTAACTTCTTAGCGTGCTGCTCCTTTTCGGGCCAGTCGTAAGTGTCAGCCTTAGCGTTAACGCAGTAGATTTCCTTGTGATACTCGATGAGCGATTCTATCGAGCCGGGCGTCAGCTTGTAAGCGACTTCATTCCGCAATACCATGTCGACGTGAACGATATAAGCTTCGACGTGTATGATCTGGTAGTTGAAGATGGCCTCTATCAACGGATTAGAATCCCTGCGCAAATCCGACTCGGGCGCCTTTTCCAGCATCAGCGAAGTTAAAGTCCAGATCGCATTCGGCGACGACAACGTCTCGGTCAAGCATCTTTGATGTTGCGGTATGCTGTTCAACGGCCTCTTGACTCTGTTAATGCGCTTGAGAGTTTGCGTCAACCACGGTTCGACCTTTGAGCCCAAGACAACGTTGACGGATGATGCTCGGGGGGCAAAAGCGGCGGCCGAAGCCGGTAATAGTTGTGGGGGCATCGCCTAAGTTTAGGGCTCTCGAGGTAGGAGGACGGAGGGGGAAAAAGTGACAGGGAATATTTTTTTGTAAAAGCGGTAGAGAGCGGTTGCTCAAGAGAGAAGGGGGGTCAGTCAGATGGGAAAGACGAATAATAATAAAAAAGACGGCACCCGAGACTAGGCGTTCCCAAGACTGGGGGAATTAGCGTGTACGCCTTGGACCGCAAATAAGAAGAAGAGAACGGTGGACGAGTATCTCGTGAAGAAGAAAGAAGGAGTGTAAGAAACTCGTGTTGCTGGGTGGTGGGGGTGTGTTATAGCAATCCTCTTCTTCGGTGCTCTTCGGTGCTCTCTACCCCTTGTATGCCCATGTAGGTAGGTTGTGTGCGATGGATTATATCCTCCAACTGTCAGAAGCCCATCTAATCCCTCTCGGAGCATGCCTAGCTCAGTTCGATCAGGCCTGGTTCTGGTTTCCCATGGACGGCCCACCGTCGTGCATTAGGAACACCACCACCATCACCCAGACGCAGACGCAGATGTAGGTAGCATCCGCAGGCGAGGCACCGCACACACCACACGCTACAGGGCCAATGTAGCATGTAGCATTGTAGCAAGTAGTATGTAGCCTTTCTGGTAGGCATCCAGAAAAAAAATAATCCACCGATACCACGGCCGATGCATCCTGACCATCCTAGTCATGCGCGGCAAAGAGGACCCAGTGTAGCCCTGGTAGTCTTGGTGCGGCCTTTGGCTTGCACTGCAACTTGAGTGGGCTGTGTTGCGACTTGCATATCTCGAACAGGTTGTAGACAAATAAGAGAAGAATTAGTGAACAGAGAGAGCTGAAAATGCTGCAGTGTGGCCAGTGCAGCCAGGCGCCACCGGTAGCCTGTACCCAAACCTTGTACCGGTACCTGCCTAGGTACAAGGGGTTCCCCTAGGCTGCTAGGGAAAGGAAAGCTCGAGCCCGAAAAAAAAGCCCAATGCCCACACCATAGCTGAGGTACCCACGTAGCTTTTTCTTGACCCAATCCGGTACAGGGTACTTGATTCCCCTATTCCTTTTGGACACATCGGCCATTCCATGCCATGCCTATCCTGATATCCACGCTCAACTTCGTCATCATGAAACATGAAACAGCATAAGTTGTTGATTTTCTTAGTATCAATTCTCCTATATTAATTCTTGAGACTTTCATGTGACTTGTCATGTTAATAGGTATACAATTATACCATTTACCGTACTCATGAATCATGATGTATTATCCATACCCGAGATACTAGTAAACAGAACTATAGAAGAAGGCAATATTACGCCTAGGTACGTTCGTTTCACCCGAGACCGCGTACCGATATCGCCGTTCTTCCATCGTCTCATATGCAATGGACACTAGTTCCATATTGAGCCTCGTAAAGTATTAATCCATCCCCTCGGTGATTCTTTTGAGATGTGATATTCCACATATTAACGTCGCATTTGCAACATAATACATAAGCACATTAATAAATTCCGAGATGTGATATCGTTGCTAGTCCTTGACACAAGGACTCCGCTACCAATGACTGCAGTGACATGTCCACTAGTCTTCTACTTTAAAACATCATGAGGCTCACCCAAGGAACCGTAAACGTACGTACGTGCAGGGCTAGCCTCTGGCTGCGCTTCCCCATGCAGGCTACAGCTATGCTGATGAGTAGAAGCCCTCATAATGACCAAAGGGGGCTTACCGTTGCACTTATGCATACTACCTCTTAGGAGGAAGAACCATATACCCATGCGGTAGCCGGGCTGATGTAGAGGAGGATAGGCGACATGAAAAGTCCAATTCGTTGCCGGGAGATTGTCTGGAGCTCTCCCATCAAATCTGGAGATTGGCGTATCAATGCGACCTACGATTCCTTATCCATTGGAAGAGAGCTGAAACTAGTCGATCAAGATGGGCTGGATGGGGAATAACTGGTAAACATTGCCTGATGCCGATCGACCGATGATATCCCTTTGATAATATATAGACCCTGGTTATCAACCAGTAAGGAACACCAACATCCCGGAGCTGGATGTTAGCAACTGGGGGGCTCCTGATGACTTGCATACTAACAAGAAGGACTTAACTCGATGGTACGCCGCCTAGATTGAGATCCTGAAACCTAGCAGACGAGCTTCACATATGCCTCGAAGAAGTATACTAGCGCTTAGCCGGATTCTTCCCCTTCGAGCAATTTGCAGAAACGAGGCTCACGCCGGGTTGCTTGCCGTCCAGTATTAGAGAAAGAAATGGACCATTCGAGCGCTCTGCGTCTGGGGTACAGTATCAGCAAGTTCCAGGAACTGCAAGGGAAGAGAGTAATTTTCCAGTCTCACGGAGGCGCTTACAGCGTCAAGGAGCTAGTCGATGGGGCGAGATATGAAGCATCATAAGATCGATTCCACATCGCGCGTGTGTTTTACCGGATGAAGAAGAACACAGTAGACTGAGTCCGTCTGACCAGAACTAGAACGACGTCGAGATTGAATGAGAACCAGTCGATGGCATATGTCAAGGTTGTAATCCATGTTAGCGGCAGAAGGTGAGTTGAGGTGTGTCGACGCAATTTGGCTCTTTTGAACCCTGATTGGCTGATGCCTGTGAGCCGGAAAAGTATTAAGGTGGAGAAATTATTTTTCTTGGTCGAATTTCCATTGGCTGTAAAATCAGGAGAATCAGGGAACCACCAAGACGATTTCCCCGGGGATCTCTGAGTCTAGACGTGAGTGAAACGAAAATTAAAGCAGAATCAAGCGAATGAGAATTTAAGAAAAATAAATTCAACTCGAATTTCATCAAAGGAGGCTCAGGGATTAGAACATAAAGGGGTGGTGTTTCTCTGAGATATCTATCTAGTCATTTCCACATCCGGAATATGACTATCGCCCGTTACGGCACCGACTTGCACTAAACTTAGTTCCCGTGCCGGAATATAGGACTTCCAAAGTTGGGGTGCGCTCCGAGTCCAGACCAAGCCATACAAAAGGCTGAACAATGTCCTCTGGTGCTCTATCACTATTCCGTGAGTCACTTGATGCGGTACTAAGCGACCTATCGTCTAGTAGAAACCCCCACTGAGCCGATCTTTGGCGAGTTAAGACCTCATCCTCATGTCGGGAAACGCGTCCAAGGGGGAACGGCTGTTGGATAACGCGGTATCTCCAACTTCGGGAGTAGATACTCCTTGAAATGCGGGCGTCATAACTTGATTCGTGTAGCATACTGAAAATAATGCCGAGCCTAAGCTCCTCCTCCTGCAGAGGATCAGTCATGTGGATGACGATTGAGAAGCCCATATCAAGGACAAGGCAAGATCAACATGGCAGATCTAATAATCATCGAGAGATATTGAACACCTGTTTCGGTCAATCAAGGTCTATGGAGACTGATACAATTGGCCGAAGAGGCGAGTTGTTTGACTGAAGTTGATGATTGGGGGTTAAGCACGGAGCAGACGGAGACACGGAGACATAAGATACTGGGGAAGAGGTTCAAGAGACGAGATGCAAGCCGAAAGTCACTTGACTGATGCCGTAAGGCCCGCATACCCCTGCCCATGCGCGTGGCCTGTGCGTTTAACTTTTCTAGATCCTGATCCCGGCTATCGGTACGTATTGCTACACTCTGTGCAACTTGCAAGCGCAGGTTAGAAACGGCCTCTCCGTGATCCGCACCTTGCCGCCTCACTTCAATCGATACTTCCAAGTTGGAACATTGAATACCTGGGTACTTTGATCGTAACTGGAAGCCACGTCGCTTATTGCTCTATACGCGCCTATCCGCTCTACCATTAAATCCACCTTAACGATTAATCGGAAATGAGCTCTGCAAGCTGCAGATGAACTACATCATAAATCAGCAAAAGCATACAGACATCTGCAAAGTATAGAAAATGCGGACACGAGGCACGAAAAACTTGCCGAGAAAAGAGGCAACCCAATACCAACGGCGAAGCCTTCATGACCCGCATTGTCTATCCCATCTAACGTTAGACTCAGGATTTAAGGGCAGATTGCTGCGAGTTTACATGTGCATACATATGTACATGCAGGTTCTATCATGCATTAGTGGAGATTCGGGACTTGTCACAGCAGCCGCCAGAAGAGGTCAACTGTCCAAGTCCATGAGAGCTTGGATCTTGGGTCTTTGGATGGCATGTTAGAACACCCTTTTTACCGCAGGGACGCGCAATACGAAAAACTATTTCTACTGGTACATACATGGTAATGCGACAGGCCTCTAGCGCTGTGGGCGCAACATCGCGATTGCCAGAAAAATGGTGGCCTGTGAATCCAATCGCATGAGAATAGGTACTAGACACATACGTATACGAAGTTAGGGGAATTAATTAAGGGCCGAGTAGAACCTCAACTCAACAAAATATGATCCTCTAGATATGTATAACACGACACATATTGCTTACCGCCGCTCTTTACCGAGCTTCCGTCTCCCGAGATCATGACGGTTACAAGGTGAAGCCGCATGTGAACATTGAAAATACTTGGGTACTTCCCCGGCAATCATCGCTTGCCCCGTCTCAAAATAGTGACCAGGCGCTACCATAGAAAACGTGGAGTTGTAGGGTTGCATCGATTGTGGCTTGCTCACCTGCTGAGCCTCTCTCGTAGAACATCGAACATTGATAAGAACACGAAATCGACTAGATCTTCACGACTGTGGCGCAGGCCCGGCACTGAACGAAACAACGAACATCGAACCCTTGCTTTCCCTGTAGGGATATTTCCAAGATCATGGAAGCTTGCGTCAACGTCTCCGCACGTGAACATAATGCTATTATTCTACACGTGCAAACATACATAGTCGATAGAGTCAGACAATTACCAGCTTATGGGAATTAGGAATTCTGGTAAACCACATGGGTAACGGAATGCCCAGAAAGGAAACTCGGTTACCAATAGTCTTGCCTGTTTTGCTTGTTTTGCCAGGTCCAATATTCCGAAACAAACAATAACGTACATACATACGTAGAGTACATGGTACCTGAGGCGAATCTTGCCAAAGCTACCTACGTAGGCTGGTAGGTAGTATCTCTCCTCAAGGCCTCAATGTCTCTGAAGCTCCTAAAATCCATGAAAAGCTGAAAGAATAATGCAGGTGCATATAGCGCATATTGGGATATCTATGCGGGGTCCTTGCCGATCATAAAACCCAAAGTATTATATGTACAGAGTACAACATGCCT